GTTACTGGTCATGCTAATCCTTTTTTCGAATATCTATATAAAAAGTGTAAAAGTTCAATGTTTCGTCCTTGTTTGGCGAGTGCTGAATTGGCACATGAATGGAGCAAACCCCGACAAAACCCAACGTAGCACAAAGGAAATTAATCACGGCTGCTGGGACACGGCCGATATATAAAACCAGGCCATTTGAGTGGGAGCTGGAGAGGGAGCAAACAGCACGCACAACTACATTACGCCGACTGATTGTATTTGAATATGTTTTTCTTCTCCCTGAGCCCCAAGTGTATGTGCTTCTCCAGAACAGAAAGAGTTTTGGTGTATGAACGGGGAACAGTCAAAGTGCTTTCTTGTCTGTCCCATATATTAAATAAACTCCCACCCATATGTAACCTGGAGAATGTCACATACATTAGTGTGTTTGACATTTATACACGTGTTGCTTTTTTGGGGGTTGTCCTTTTAAATGATTGTGTTGGTCAATCAGATTTCATTAAGCCTAATGAGGGCTGGTGTCTCCGTGTCCTATAGAAACGGGGGTCTGTGTGGACTAATTGGTCGGCTGAGCCACACGACGATGTCGCAAGAGACAAAAACCAGTGTGATCTGGCTTTGTTTCAGGTCACAGTTGGATTTCCTGTCAATCTGCTCGCTCTCTCTCTCTCTCTCGTTCTCTCCCTCCTCATCTCTTGAACACATGTTGACTTTTCCTCTCCTCTAGATATAAATATCTCCCCCCTTCGTCTTCTCCTCCCTTTTCTTGGCCACCAAGGAGTATTCCCTGGGAGTCGCACTCACATTTCGTGTCCACGTAATCTAGTTGGAATAATGGAGCATTCATCACACATGCACATGCGTCCACTGAGAGTCTATAAATAGCCCGTGATTGCGTTGAAACCATCGCAATCATGTCTGGGCGTTCCATTCAACCGATTTCATGTGTTTGTTTGCTTCCTCCTTTTTGTGCACTGTTAAAATCTCTGTCTGAAATTTAGAGTGCAATGGTTAGATGAGATTCGCAACCTGTGACATTAAACAATCGAGGATGGAAAGAGGTAAAGACCGGCAGGGCAGAGTGAGTGTGTAGAGATAGTGGCCGTGTGGGAAATGAGCAGGCTTTCCTTGTGGAACTTGACCTCATAACCACGATGTTGCACAGCAGCACGAGTATGCCTTCATTAGCGACGTTATTGTGGCTTCTCAATCCTATTACTTCTGCCCTTTTTCCTCACACATGCTATTATGTTGCAAAAATCTTCGGGATTTGTTATCCACGTCCTTTTTCTGACTCATCACAACTCGGATCTGGTATTCAGTGAACTTTAAAAGGATATGTATATACTGTATGTATATGTATAGAAAATGTTCACACCATTTAATGTAAAAGAAAAAATGTCCCACCGTCTGTCTGAATATACTTTTGTTCAACCTTTGTCTGAAACTCTCCATCTCAGTGTGTTTCACTGGAATTGTGTTGCTAGGCAACAGTTTGGGTCTACGTCTACTTCCTGTCAGCTGATGTCCTTCTTACACACTGCAAGCGTGAATAAGCTTGGAGACAGTTAGAATGTTTACGGTTGAGACTGATAAATGGTTTACGTCTGGTGCAAACATCCTGACCGCTCGTTTGAAGGCAATTCCTAAATATGTGTCGTGTTTATTTCTCAATAGGTTGACCGTTTCAACACTTAAACAGCAAAAAAAAAAATGCTTTATAGTAGAAAATAATGTAACATTCAACACAAAACTTAACATAACCCTACACTGTGTAATTCACTTTGTACGAATCGTTTTCTCTTTAACAGAATCATAGTTTTCTTTGCGGCCGTTCTGTGTTGTTCGGCACTCGTCATCTCACCTTTGCTCTCTGGTTCCAGCACCTCCCTCTCTTCAAGTGTTTGATTTAACTCAAATTTATTTCCAGGGCAGGAAGGGAGGAGCACATTGGGGAGAGGGGAATAAACAGATAGGGCCATTATTCATTGCTGCCGTGACGCTATGGCAACAGTGTCCTCCTGCTCTGATTGGTTGTAGATAAGGTTGCCTCTTTAGCCATCACTTTTACTCTTGGGAGGGGGCTCCTCGATTATTAGGCCGTTGTCGAGGCCTATGCTGTCAATCTCGCCCGAAAACAACATTTGCTATTGCTCTATTTCTGCTGCTGTGCTTTTTATTTCCTCCGGATGATGCAAAGGGAAACCGTGCATCGTATGCTCTGGGCTGGCCTTTGGTCGGTTTCTTTACACAAGTGGCTGCGTTTAACAAGCAGTTCCAGTTTATGGATGATATCTGGATCTAGATTAACAAGTAGGAGGAGGAAAAGAATCACTTTGCACTTAAATCACATTGAAATAATGAATTTCATACTGATATATTCACATTTTGTTTTTCAGGAATATACATTTACTTTTCTTTAATCGTATTTGTGTGGGTTACTGTGTTCCAGCTATCACCTCATATCCTCCAAGTCGTTTGGTTGTTTTGTCCTGAGTCAGGTTTCCTAAGATTAACTCAGGGTTAAGTGTAATCTATAAATCTTTGCTCACTTTCTGCATTTGCCGCTGCGGAGTTCACTGCTCCCAGAAGCCACCCGCAAAGGTGCGTTTAGACTGGCTAAAGGAGGCACACTTATACATCTGTGTAATGCTTTGCTTCGCCACAACAGTGTAAAAGCATATAAATGGGGTCTATTATATCAGCATATTATGATGAATAAACACTGCTGGATTATGTTGCCTCTGTGAATCATGAGCTGGTCAGGCAGGAGCCCTGCTTTTAAACCTGGACACCCGGATCAAGGGAGAGCTGTTCAATTTGGGCCTTTTGTCCCCATTTTTATGGAAAGCTGATATCAGAATCTCATTATAAAACTACTATTACAGCCCAAAGGGCAGCAAGTTGAAAAAATAAAATGTCTGTTTACCCAAAAATCGAATTTAAAAAAAAGACACTTTCCAATTTATTCCTATCGGCTCATCTACAGACCAGTTTGTGTGGTTTCTGTAGTAGTTCTGAAGACCATAGCTCAAATGTATGTGACTGTAATGTTTCAGAAAGATGAAGAATTCTATGCAGCTTCCGTTATTATGTCTTGGGGACAAAACAACTACTGTAAATATTAGTTTAAAGTGAGGATGAAATATGATTTTGATAGATTTTTGGTAAACTGACCTTTAGTCTGTGATGGGATAATTTATGTATAGATTTAAACAAAGACGGCACGGTGGTGTGGTGGTTAGCACTGTCGCCTCACAGCAAGAAGGTCCTGGATTCGATTCCGCCCAGTGGCCTTTCTGTGGGGAGTCTGCATGTTCTCCCCGTGTCTGCGTGGGTTCTCTCCGGGTTCTCCGGCTTCCTCCCACAGTCCAAAGACATGCTCTGGGGATCAGGTTAATTGGTGACTCTAAAATTGCCTGTGGATGTGAATGGTTGTATGTCTCTGTGTTAGTCCTGCAATTGGCTGGCGACCAATCCAGGGTGTACCCTGTCTATCGCCCCAAGTTGGCTGGGATGGACTCCAGCCCCCCCGCGACCCTGTGTGCAGGATAAGCGGTTTGACAATGGATGGATGGATTTAAACAAAGAGTGTCATACTACGCAGGACAAAGCAGTAGTAATTTATTTATTTTTTTCACAAAATATGGTCCCAAAATCAATTATCTCTCTTAACTGTTATATTGTGGGTTTGCTGGGATATTACAAGTTGGACGACAAAGTAGTCCGTTATTCAGATCAAACAACCTCAAGATAAAAGAATAATAATAGGCTTCAAAGTGAATGCGATGATTTTGTTATTTTCGCTATGAATGCTAGTTGAGATGGGAGCTGTCATACAGTGCTAAAAGAAGTGGGGTCTACCACCACATGGTACTTGCTTGTTAGCATGATTGGTGCAGTGTGGGAGGGGTAATGTGTATGTGTGTGTGTGTGTGTGTGTGTGCGGTTTTCTGACAAACCTCCCAGTTCTGTGTGCTGCGTTAGATGAAACAGGCATCATCTAGTGCCATGGATTCTGCAGACATTCTGCTTTTATCTGACTACTGCATGTTCATTTTTTATGTCTGGTGGTGCCAAAGCAGGTGGTGCAAGTGACAAAAATGTGTCTTTGGTAATTCCAGGGGGGCCCATAGAAGGAGGAACAGGGTGAGAGTAACGTTTTGTAACCCCGGTTATGATCAGAGAAGGAGTCTTTTCAGCTTGCTTTGTTAATCAGCATTCACCGTGTCACTGATTTGGTGGATACTCTGGATAAATCGACATTTTTAAGTGCAGATAGAATACCTGTGTTTTGGGTATCGGCCGACAGAGTCCTGGTCCGGTAACAGTGTCCAATTAGGAAGCTGTTTGCCTCAATGTGCGGAAGTGACTGGGAACCTATTTTTAAGTGATTTTGAGTGTAAAACATACGATCATAAATATTATTAACTACATGTTTCTTTATGTAAAAGAGGAATTACAATGCAAGTCTTACCAGAATATACAGCTATTAGACGCATGCGCATCCAACTTCAATTTGGTAAAAATCCTTACGTTTTATTTTTCTAAAAACTTTTACCCACCCAAAAAGAAGAGTTTTACATAATTTACTAAATAACGGACAAGCTACAGTGCATTGTATTGTGTGATGCTCTTGCTTTTGTTTATTGGTTGGTTGTAAAGCACTATTTCTCCACTCAAGGAAACTCACTCATGTGAATAAGCCTGATAAGAGAGCCATGAATAAATAAGTGGTCAAAGCCAACCTAATCCATTAGCCCTCAGCCAATCACACTTCACACTCAGGTATTTTTTTTAAGTAGTTAAACTTAAGGTTATTAGAATTATCGTTTCCACTTTATTGATCTATTCAATTCCCCATAAAATGTACTAAATGCGTGTTTATTGTATTTTGAGGGGTAAAAATAAGTGTTTTATGCTTGAATGCATAGGAAACTGTATTTTAATGTGTAATACCCTAATCATTCAAGCCTTACTAATAGAACTTTCATAACGTTTTCTTTCAGATCCTGGCCATTATCTCCATCCTTTTCATCGTTCTATCCACCATTGCCTTGTCTCTGAACACCCTTCCGGAGCTGCAGGACACGGATGAGTTCGGCCAGTCTTCAGACAACCCACAACTGGCCCACGTGGAAGCTGTGTGCATTGCCTGGTTCACCATGGAGTACCTACTTCGCTTCCTCTCCTCTCCCAACAAGTGGAAGTTCTTTAAGGGTCCTCTGAATGTCATTGACCTGCTGGCCATCTTGCCATACTACGTCACCATCTTCTTGACAGAATCCAACAAGAGTGTACTACAATTTCAGAATGTCCGCCGCGTGGTTCAGATTTTTCGAATCATGCGTATCCTACGTATTTTAAAGCTGGCTCGTCACTCGACAGGTCTTCAGTCTCTGGGCTTCACTCTTAAGAGGAGTTACAATGAGCTGGGCCTGCTAATTCTCTTCCTGGCCATGGGCATCATGATCTTCTCCAGTCTTGTGTTCTTTGCAGAGAAGGATGAGGAGGACACAAAGTTTAAAAGCATTCCCGCATCTTTCTGGTGGGCCACTATTACTATGACCACAGTAGGCTACGGAGATATTTACCCCAAAACTCTACTGGGAAAGATAGTGGGGGGTTTATGCTGCATAGCTGGAGTGCTTGTGATTGCCCTACCAATTCCTATTATTGTGAATAACTTCTCTGAATTCTACAAGGAGCAAAAGAGGCAGGAAAAAGCACTTAAACGAAGAGAGGCCCTAGAGAGGGCAAAGAGAAATGGTTCCATTGTCTCAATGAACTTGAAAGAAGCATTTGCTCGTAGTGCAGAACTGATGGATGTGGTGGTAGAGAAGAGTGAGAGGCCACACGACAACAATCTCTCTCCAAACCGTTGGAAATGGACCCCAAAAAGAGCTGCATCAGAGACAAGCTCAAACCGTTCCTTCAACGCCCAGGAGCAAGGCTCTCCCAACAAGGCCCAAGCCACCAGTCCCCAAAGGCTGAATGTTCAGAAGCTCGAGGAGATGTACAACCAGATGGCCAAGACACAATCCCAGCCAAACCTCAATGCAAAAGAGAGGGGCTCCAGAATTGGAAAACAAAGGGATGAGATAGAGCTGGGGGCTATCCAAGATCACGGGCAACCGGTGATGGGAGTCAGAGAAGGAGTGGGGGACATGAAAAGCTTGTCCAGCATTGACAGCTACATCAGTTGCGCTACAGACTTCCAAGAGAATCCACGATACCCCCACAGTCCTGCAATGGAACTTGGTCTTCAGGAAAGCAACCGGTACCCCTACAGTCCGGCTGCAGCTTTCTCTCAGCACAGCAGCACAAAATCAGGCCAAAAAAACATCGGGGATCGTGAACCCATCCTGACCCCTGTGTCCATCATAAAGCCCTCGTGCACGGAGAGCACACGGAGGTTCTTCTTTTCTGGCAACTCTTCAAAAAGTCTTAAGCCCAAAGGGGGCTGCCACAGCGACGGGGGATCAGGCCCGTCCCCTCTCTCGGACAGCTCAGTCATGTCGGACAACTCCCTACTGAGCCCCGAGGTCTCTGTCTACACCACTGCCAGCAGCAGGACTCCACCCAAGTCCCCGGAGAGCACCACCCTGGCCGCAACAGTCTTCACCTTTCACGACTCCTCCATCAGCAAATACATCGACGCTGATACAGATGATGACGAGCACCTTCGCGACATCTCTGATATCAGTCCCTCAGAGTCTCTTTTGGCTGGTTCAAGCCCAAAGCGAGGCATCAATTATCAGAAAGGCTGCAACCATTTGGAAGCAGCCCAAAAAATGCTAGGCCATAACTGTCTGTTCCCCATTGAAGGGATTCGCGGGGGGGCTCACGAGAATCACGTAGTACCTGAGATGGCACGAAGACCAAAGGTTGAGAGGGGGCGTCAAAATACTTCAGATAAAAGCCTCTGAAGTACAAGTGCAGCAGAAATGAACAGAATAATGGGGCCTGGGTGTTTGGGATGGAGACAACAGACAATCTTAAAAAGACGCTATAAGACAGAGAAAAGGGGAGTGGAAGAGAAAAAAGGTCTCACCAAAACATTCCACACATTACCTGAGCATGCCATCGTGTACTCGGCTCAGGGTGAGGATGTGTGCTCAATACTCTGGGAGAAAAAATACTACTAATTCCGAGAACGTCACTGCCCCTCCTTCAACTCATTCCTATTAGTGTTATTAGACAAAACGAAGGCACTCCCAGGTAGCCAACGGGTCTGTGGACTCACGTGGAAGCAGAGGAGTCAGAGAAATTGAAACATGGCTATAACTGCTGTGACCAAACTGAATGGTGGTTTAGCGGCATGGTGGTTTAGCGGCATGGGAGATTTCTCTAAACTCTATAGGAAAAGAAATCCCAGTTGCCCACCAGTACGGAGTCCCGATTAATTTTGTAGTCACGGAGATACAGGAGAGGACCTAGAAGCCTATAAGCTACTTACTTGCGCCCTCCATTCCAAAAAACTGGCCTTAGTCATTTACATTTGTATGGTACCGAGTGTGCATATCTGGATATAATGTAAGCGAGCGTGTGCGTGCACGTTGTGAGTGTGATTGTTGACGGGTGATCTAACGGTAGTTCATACACACTCTTGAGATTGTCTTACTTGATTTATTTTTATATAGTCTAGATACAAGAAAGCTAATTGTTGAAATGTACGATTTGCTAGTCTGCTGTGTCACATGTGAAGAGTAATCCTGTGTAAAATGCAATGTCTTGGCACAGAGGCTGCAGCTCTAGCCAGTCATCCATAATGAGGCGTGCTTTTTCTTTAACAGTATTTTGTCATCCCCCATGTTATCATGCCATGGTTAGAATAGCCAATACTTTAAAATCTCAACCAGTAAATATTGTCTTTGCATCTCGGTATCATCTTTTGAGGGATGGCAGTAGACCATGACTTTTTGAGAACAACTAAAGAGCCAGAAGTAATAATCTTGATAGCTGCACAATGCACACATTTATGAATCATGCATGCACGCAAACGGTCAACGTACAAAAACATGAGGCGCTTTTATGAAAGAAAAATATGAAAGATTCTATAATATAATTTCTTTATGTTAACCATGTATGTTTACTGACACAAAGTTTAGATTACATGTTCAGCATGCATTGGCCTTCCATTGACCAACACAAAAGCATCCAAAGGGATCACACTCAGATAATGGAATATACGTGTATTTATAGAAAGGTCGTTTTCCATCTCGTCTTTCTTCCTTTTATTATCAAAATAAACTTTAATGACACAACATAAGCGCCGCTAGGTTAACTCTACCATAAATCAGCTGCTAAATGCCTGGCCTGACCCATGCATGAGCATAAAGATAGATAGAAGTATGAAAGACAATTTTATGGATATATAGACACATTTAGTTTCCATGGAGACAGAAGCTGTTGTCATAGCTGTCGTGAAAGGCTGGCAGCAGCTCAGAAACGTTTGTTAATTGGGGCGGGAAGGACTTGATTGCATGTAACCTATGTTCAACGCATATAGAACACACACATAGGCATGTACCCGTTAAGTGACAATTTGCAGTCACATGTTAGCAGCCACTCCTCACTGCGCATATTAAGTACTGTGTAAAAACAGCGTTATGATGTACGGACCTTGTACGTTTTTATGTTTGTGTCTAAAATCTAATTTCATAAATACAACGATTCCCCTGAATGCATTCTCTATTATCTGCTTATATTCAGAAATAGCAAAAAAAAACAGTCTTACTATTCCCGACAATTACAGTTATTACCTAACAATACCAACCTTGAAAATGTGAGCACAGCAGAACCTCGCTGACAAGTGAACTAATTCTTGAAGAAAATTGACCAAACTGTAAAAGCTTCCGGACACAAGCTGAGATATATAAATAATAGAGTTCATTGCATTAATATAAATGTTGAGTAAAATGTTAGTCCGTAGTCGAAAGAAGAACATCGTCAAATGTACTTTAGTGTTGTTAAGACTAAGAGTGTCACCACAAACCCTAATTTCATTTCCTGTTTCAATCACATAGTTGAACCATTTCATATTGCTCATCCATAGTGAGAGGAGCAGAGGTGTGGAAGGAATAGCAATGACTATGCGAGGCCGGGTAAACCTGTGTGCTGGGAGTGAAGCCAGGGCATTAGAGCCGTGCCGCTTAATGGAAAAGAATGAGCTGCACCTCGGGGGGAAACTTGCTTCTGTTCCCCTCGTAGTCTAACCGCAGTTCTGACTGACATGCAACTGCAGCACAAGTTCCATTCTAAACATAGGATATATTAAGATTACTTTATTTTTAATGTGCAGGTTCACTTACTGCTAAAAAGAGGGGAGGCAAATTTTATGAATCTTAACACACACCATATAATTAAGCATGGATGGATATTTGAGCTGGTGAAAAATGATTATTATGATGCTGCTTCAACACAAAGTTCTATTTTATTTAAGAGAAATACCTATTCAAATAGCTAATCGTTTTGCACATTTGCTAATATTAAATGCTGAGTTCACAAAAAGAGAAAATGGCCACTGTCAAAGAGATCCTAAACTTAGATATTGTGTGCAAAGAGGGGTTGCCAAATGATTGATTTGATTTTATAATTTAGAAAATGTTCTATGACATAACATTAGAGAGCAGTTTGACATTTTTTAGATGACTTCTGGTAATATTCAGAATGTATTATTTGTTTGTCTCCCCAACAACTTGCTGTGCCTGGCTGCTCCTTTGTTTTTTAAAAACACACATTGATTAACCATCCCCACAATAAACATCCTCATAGCAATTTACAAGGTGGAATTGGCACAAGTTCAATTGTACTAAGAAAAGATGATGCATTTAAATTTTGTCCGTCACATTTCATTTTCTTTTGGTTACAAAACTTAAGTCTCATCTAGAGAAACATTTAGTTCCTGATTGGCTTTTCACTCCATATTTATCCTCATATTATGAAAGGGCAAGGCCAATGTATGTCCATTGAGTCCATTTCATCAGTCCAAAAAAACTACATGACAAATTGAATTTTCATCACACAATCCCTTATACGGCAACATTTGAGATTCTGCATTACACAAAAGGTTTAAAGAGTAGGCTGCTATCATTGTACTCAAGCAAAAGTACTGGTATGAATACATTTTAACCATGTTAAGGGTAGAAAGTAGATTGCATCAAATGTGGATGTACATCAACAAGAAGACCCCTTCCATCTGCAGACTGGGAATACAACTGATTCAATTAACGTTATATAAATGTATAACTGCCTTCCAATATAAATCATTCCAAGAGTTAAGAAAGGAAGACAAAAAAAGAATAGACAACAGCTACGGAAACGTAGCACAATGTGGACACGTCATTGTGAACGACGTGGACAGCAGAGTAGAGGCCGCACAGTTCCTACACACCTCAGAGCGCGCGTGCAACCTAGTTGCTAGGCAACGACGCGCGTCGCCGACGTTCCTTGCCCCGTAGAGTTCAGCCGCGTGTCGCCGGAGCTCGTCTGTCCCGGACGCAACTTGCAAAGCGCGGCCGCAATCCGCCCCTGGCTCCGTGTCCTGGTTTGAGTTGTTGAGGACACCACGGAAAGTCCTTCGGTCCTGAGATGCAGCCGGTGTGCTCGGGAGGCTGTTGAGACCCAGGTGCTGTTTCAGCGAGACACGTGACCTCTAATTTGCTCGTGATTGAAGTACTAGAATTTAGGTGCCGTGGACGCAAACGCTTTACGAAATCGTCATTTCCGGGCAGCCGCGTTCTCACCTGCAGTTTCCGTGCCAGAATGTGTCAGGACTTTATCACGTGACCTTGGTTTTAACCTGTAGCGCCTTGAAATATAAGTAAAATACTCGTGACAAATAATAGGCTAGGCGACAGATTAAATGACGGATCACAAAAACACGACATTGTTTCTGTAACGGAAGAATTACAGCACGTTATGTGTTTCAACGCCACGTTTAATATCAACACGCACGAAATATTCTCTAATGATGACAATCAATATTCCATGAACAGACAGAAAGTATTATTTTAGATAACTGGAATGTATTACGGGCAAATACTACCCAAATACTCAGCCATGAGCATACACACAGAAATCCCCAAACTAGTATTGATACTCCTTATCTCTAGGGTTTCGCAGCAAAGGCATCAAACCTGATGTGATTTCATACGACTGTGATACTGTGACATGGTACCATCATAATTCAAAAAGAATATATAGATCACATCTCGCTACTTTCCATTCCCAAGAGAGCAAATGTAGTCTAAAGGAGCTTTTCATTATACTGAGTGATTCAAAGGACTAAACCATCATGCTTTATGAAGAAAACACAATCAAGTGACTTGTTGTATTTATTGATACAAAGAGCACAGATTCTCAGACCTTTAAATGACAAGGCTCCCTGTACTGTAAATGCATTTTTTTGTAATTTATAATAGAAGTTGTTTGTCACGCTAGCTGCTGAATTTAGCCAATATGAGGTTCAGGTATTTTTTTTATTTTCTGTTAGAACCCCATAGACACCTTTTCAAGGATGTGATGCTTTCCAAACCAGGTGAGAACCACCGCTCTAGCAAGTAGAGCCCAATGCCACATACTCTGAATCTAGCACTGTATTACAGGGTTGGGGTCGATTCAGAATGCCTTGATGGAGTAAAACACACATTACACAATAAAATGAACCAGTGTTAGAGCATGAGACCAACTAAATGTAGTATGAATTAAAACACAAACTGTAGTTTCTTTTCTTTTTAAACTCTCAGTGAAATTGACCCCAACCTTGCCTAAGCCATCAGTCTTTATAAAAGTACACTGTTTCCAGATAATTGAAAAAACTATATTTGAACAACCTTAGCCAGCTCTTATACAATGTTGTTTGTAGGTCCCGAGGCTGTCTGTTTTGTAAAAATAACAAAACTAATTTTTACCTGTTGACTTTCTATGCTGTCGTTCCTGTGTAAATGTTCTATTGTTCCGTGCATGTTGTAACTCTGGCGTTGTAACTGGTTGTGATTCACACAGAGCCAGTACCTGTCACGTAAAAAAAAAATGTCTCAATGTCCGCAGATATTCCTATTTCATAAAGACAAGCAAAATCTCCCTTGAATGACTAAAATGAAATAAATCAAATCACTTTACATTTTGATTAGGGAACTCTGACTTTCATTTTACTGGTAATTTGCAGTTTTCTATGCAAACCGACACAGGAATATATGTAATATCAATTTATATATCTGTTGAGCAGTAAGGATTTTTCATTTGAACAAATCAAGCCTCATCAACTAAATGTTTACATGTCGTTGCTCCAATCTGGGGAAGAAAGCACAACAGATCATTTTAATGAGGCCGGTGTTTAATATTTTGGCAGGCTGTTCTTTTACCACCAGTCTGAGTCAAAATATAGAGGAGGAGGAGGAAGAGGAGAAGGAGGTTAGATGAAGAGGAAGCTGTGGGCTGATGGGCAGGAACAGGCCTCCAGCCTCCCCACACGCCTCCACACACCCGTGCATGGAGGATTCCCCACCACCTGCCACCAGAGAGATGGTCTTCTGCAGGAATCGTGGAGGGAGGATGGAGTCAGTGATCGCAAGATTTCTCTTTAAGTTCAACAATTGTGCCATCTAGTGGTGCTCCTCTAAGAGATCCATCTGATCCAAACAACAGTGATGCGTCCATAACGGCACCTCTTGAAACACAGTTTGCGTGTCAGAAACAGGCCGAACAGTCTTTTGCAAGCTGTAATTTAGAACTTCTGTCTACGCAGTGCAACAACGTTTTTCCTATGGATGTTGTTAGGGTTCAAGTTAGGGTGAATTATATTTGGAATAAATGTTCCATTTGGAGGTTTTAACATCTACTAAGGCTTTGGAGGAGTTTTCTACCAGCGGGTTCCCATTTTATTTGTACTTTCCACATGCACGCTGCACACATACACATCGTGCCAATGGTGTCCCACAATTCTACTGATGGCGGTAATGTTGCAACACAGCAATACGTGAAAAGAGGCAGAGAAGAAGAAGAAGACTTCCTACTGGTAATTTTGGATGTCGATAATGGGAAATCTAACTTTAAAGGTTTCATGTGAAAGCAAGTGCATTCATCCCTTTTTGTCTCAATACACACATTTCACATAGTGTAATCATTGTTTCTGCAATCACAGAATTCATTTTTCAGTTATTCTACAACATGTATATCCATAAAGGAACAGTTCTTATAATAATCATTTGTTCTGTTAACGGAGAGTTAACAGAACAAATGTAATTTCATGGTTGAATAAACCCTTGGCAAGGCTTTAAAAACAAATACCGTATCTCTTCTGGTCATTAACAATTCCTAAATAACACATACCTAGAATTTATGTGTGAGGATTTATATATTTTTATCGTGGTGAGAAAGAAAAAAAAAGTTGGACAATGTTTTTACATTCTTAAGCGTAGAAAGTAATTTCTTCATTCTTTCCATTGTTACCTGCTCTCTAAATTTTCCTTTCCATCTCCCGCACACCTGCTGCCCCCCCCCCCCTCGGGTGCTGCATCCACTGGGTGTGTGGGCCCCAACTCTGCTGGCATCCTTTGGTTAGAGGGGTCAACTGAAACTGGACACAATACCTTTTTTTTACATAAACACAGACACTCAAACCAAAAACAGATTAAATACATTGGGACAATACACGAGAAGATATCAAAGACAAAAAAACCCTGATGATGGTGTCGGGGATGTGTCTTTTCTTCCTGGCGTTGCCATAGCCACCCGTGATAATCATTGCTGGGACTGCAGAGGGAGATTTCACGTTGAGAACATCATATATGCAACATATGTTGCATTAAATAACACATTCAAAATGAGCATTTGCTGGGACCGTGTTCACCAAAATAAGACATGCCTCAACGTGTAAAATAGCGGATTACTGAAACTCCCGTGGCTCAGGTTATTCATGCAAAAAGAACGACAACGAGTGACAGTGCAGGTTTACACTCAAACTACCACCAGCTTTCTGCTGTGTGTGTGTTCGGGGAGAAGGTGGAACACGGGAGCTGGAAGGTTACACTGCTACATTACAAACTCAAGTTTAGGAATTGAAGGAAACATACAGGGACAGTGAAACAAACGCGGCAGTGTGGCTCCCTAAAAAAACGCTTTAAAGGTGATGAGCATTGAATCCTCCATTAAAAAGCCGGTCAGCACTAACTGGATACGATCGCTATAAATATCTCTTCACATGATATATTTATTTCCTCATCATATCCTTTCATCGGGCAACTTGAAGTCATTCTATAGCAGCTCTTACAGCAAAGTCATAGACAAAACTATAGAGTACATTAGAGCCATGTGTCTTAAATGTAGCACAGGGTCGATTAGCTCGTAACTCTGGATTTGGATTTGTTTGCCTGTTGGACTGACCCCCCGGTTTTGACCCTGCCTGAACACAAGTAAAGAACTGTGATTGCATTTCTGTTTCTGAGTTGTGCTTTTGGGTTCTAGTACTCGGTTCTGAAACGACATAAATAGCCTGGTGTTGGACGGCTTCCTGCCAGCAGCAAACACTGCAGTCAAACAGTTTCATGGCTCATCCGACAGGAAAAACTGGCGGGCAAACAATCAGAATTCAGCTCCACACTCGATCCACATCACTCGAGCTGCATCACATTTAAGGCGCTCACGTCGAGGATCTTTGAGTTTTACAAGTTTTACTCAAACACAGTCACAGCGGGGCAAAATTCTTGGCAGTATTTAAACTGAACTCCTTTTACAGCCTTGGCCTTTTTCTGTGAATACATTCTGTGTTACAGAAAGATATTCATATTTGTCAGCACATTGTTGCAAAATAAAAGAATTCCTCCCGGTTAAGATTGTTTAACACCTAAAATACACTACATGAACTTTCACATTCTTGGTAAGCTAAGTTGCAACAATAAATGGAGGTGATTGTTGTGACGTATTAGCTCTTTAAAGCCAGTGAATTTCACCATTTATAATTATTGGGTTTGAACATGCAAATGGCTCACGTGCATACGGAGAATAACATAATCTCCTTATGTTCTTATTTGATATGATCAGGGTCAGAGGTAGAACTGGGACCAAAGTGTGTCCACGGACGTCGTCCTCGTTGAATCACAGATGTACAAACTGTATCTGAGGTTACAACATTTGGACACAATTAGCAAATCTTTTCTTATTTTCTTGTATATTTAGTAGGACCTGAAATACATATGTAAATAATTAACTACTCCTTGTGCAGTTGAAGCTCAATTCAGATACAAACTGCATTGAGATCCTCACACAATTAGTGGGAACATTGGGATGTAATAGAGAGTAATGGGGCCTTAAAATAAACTAACAGTGAAAATAATCCCCAGTACGGCCCATTTAATTTCTTTTCCTCAATGTAAGTTTATTCATACTGAGCAGCCTGAGAGCCTGTTGCATACGCATATAACGCAGATATTCACGTTTACATAAGGGTGCAAGTTTTCCAATTAGTTACATGTGAAACAGTGTTGAGAGGCAGCCTATTATGATTTGCATGTGTACACTAAACGTACTGTTAACTTCTTAGTAATAATGTGCTTCAAAATCTTTAACTCAGTGTGATTCCATTTGTTGCAGTTGTGGTGAAAAGGCAAACATTCCTAACTTGCATCCGCAGTGATTTCATTAGGAGCTCGAGGTATTTCCTCTAATCCCAGTGGAGTGCTTAAATAAACCAGGCCGAGGGTCACAGGAGGAGGGAACGACCAGTTCGGGCCGCCTGGATCTTTTTCACATCCCCCCGATCGTGGGAAACGCACCTTGGCGGCCTCCAGGTGTGAAGTGTAAACCCACGGCGGTTAAAGAAGCAGTAAAGCGCTGCCCAAAACATGATCTTCCTCATGGACCTCCAGATGATGCTGCTGGACGTGATCTACTTCATCCTGCGCAACTCCGTCCGGGCGGTCCTGCGCCCGCGCACCAAGCCCATCGATGGCGAGCTGGTGCTGATCACCGGGGCAGGTGGCGGCCTGGGTCGCCTCTTCGCTCAGGAGTTCACCAAGCACGGGGCGGACGTGGTGCTCTGGGACATAAACAGCGAGCACAACGAGCGGACGGCCAGGCTGGTGGGCGAGATGGGGGGCAAGGCGCACGCTTACACGGTGGACGTGACCGACAGGGTGGACGTGTATCGCAAGGCGGAGCTGGTGCGAAGGGACTTGGGCCGGGACGTCACCATGCTGGTGAACAACGCCGGCGTGGTGGCCGGGGAGCGCCTGCTGGACTGTCCCGACGAACTGATCGAGAGGACCATGAAGGTCAACTGCCACGCCCTCTTCTGGGTGAGAGCGCTCGGGTCAGACTTCAACGTCAAAAGTGTCGTCCAACCGGACTTATTGCGTAATGCTAAACGTCCAGAGAGACGATTGTTTATTATTCGCTCTGCACAGATAATAAGGATGTAACTCGTTATTTGTCGACTCATCTAGAATAATATTTGCTTCTGTGATTATGGTAAGGAAGTATGCATCAGTAAGTATTAGTAATTAGTAATACCCAGAGGAAAAAACTGTCCTTCTGAGACCATCCTCAGTGGACATTTAGCAGAAAATGACATACACACAATTTAAGACCACGGGTTGGTGAAATTTAGTCACCTCAGCTTGTTTACTTACTATTCATGCTTTAACAGAAACTCAGCATTATTAATTCAGTAAAATATAAAGCTGCACACACATTGACTGCTTTGATGTGGGGGGGCACTTATTCTGATTAGTAGTAATCTCTATTTAATTATCAAACTCAAATCTGGACAGTTTAGCAGTCGGCATACACACCAGACAAGACGCTGATTTACCACGACCAACGTTTAGAACGGTGAAATGAAGCTTTTGATTTCCACAATGTACAATGTACAATGCTCTCAGCATCAGCTGCTGTGCAGAGCGCCTTATTGTGCACAGTGTGACGCGTGACATGTCAAATGTGTTACGTTAATAGCTTGATCCCCTACACACTATACAGCAGGATCCCCGAATAAATCCTCTTAAGATGAAGCTGCTTGAAAAAAAATAAGCTTACTTCCTATTGAGCAACATTTAAGTCATTTAAGTTGCATGAACACTGAACAGTTTGTTGCCTCTCGATAACATACTGCCGTTTAACAGCGTGTCTGTGCGTGTGTGTGTGTGTGTGTGTGCCTCAGACGGTGAAGGCCTTCCTCCCTCAGATGAAGGCCCAGAATCACGGACACATCGTCACCATTGCCAGCGTCCTCGGCCTCTTCAGCACAGCTTGCGTAGAGGTGAGGCGGCGAGGGACCGCGGCGCGACACAGAGACACGACAGCGCCGCTGTTGCAGCCGCTGTTGCAGCCGCTGTTGCAGCAGTTGTCTCGTTTCTCGGTCCTTGAGGCATCAAATAAAGCAACAGATTAAAATGTGTCCTGCAAAATAAGATGCCTGAGCAGGTCCGGCATATTTTCAATGCAATTGTGTGATTGTTTCAATTTTTCAATGGAAGTTTTGATTTTTGTTGGGACACAGGATTACTGTGCCAGTAAGTTTGCCGCAGTGGGCTTCCACGAGTCTCTGGCACATGAGCTACTGGCCGACGAGGTTGAAGGAGTGAAGACCACCCTGGTGTGCCCTTACATCGTAGACACGGGCATGTTTGAAGGCTGCAAGATACGGTACGTAAACGACAGTCTAGTTGACTAAATGCATGTATAGCTCCTCTATATAGGTTCTACAATGTATTCTCTTGCAGTTATGGTTCTGAAAAGTCAATGCATGCTGAACTAAATACACATAAGCAGCTGCACAAATGACATCAGAGGGATGTGAATGGACTTGTGTGGCTGCTCGTGTTTGTTCAAAAAGCAAAAGCGCCAACTGGTAAGCGACAGCCTGCTTGTGCTTCCATGCCACTGCTAGGGAGGAAGCCGAACTGTTCCTTCCTCCTCTGGAGCCCCAGTACTGCGTCGAGCAGGCCATGAACGCCATCCTGGTGGACCAACCGTTGGTGTGCATTCCCCGCCTCACGTACCTGCCTTTCCTCTCCAGAGCGTAAGGACAAAGCTAAATCATCACATTGACTGGCGACCTTTCAAAAGCCTTGTCTTTTTTCTTTGTGTGCAATTCCATCTCTAAGCGGCTTACGTTTGGTTGTGTTTCAGATTGTTGCCGTGGGAATCTAACGTGATTACGTATCGTTTCCTGGGGTCTGACAAGTGCATGTACCCTTTCATTGACGCCAAGAAGAAGCAAACCTCTAATGGCGCTATCACAGTGGCATAGTTGTACCCAAGTGGACTAAAGATAACTGTTGGGAGTCAAAAACCTTCGTATTAAATTCAAATGTCCCTAACAACAAAAGAAAGGTCTTGCTGCCCGTGTGGACATCAGCGGGTCGTACTGCCCAGCTGCAGCTACAGAGCGGATGTGATCTTAAGAAGGATCCATTCTGAAGTGTGTGCTAGATGCCGACTCAGCCAAGTGGTCATCAGCACGCTAAAGACACTTCAGCACAGTTTAAACGTCCTTTCAAACACACACACATCTGTGAAATGACACAATACTGTACAGCGACGGAGTTCTGAACCATCCAAACCATCCAAAGGGGGAATTTGAGTTACTGCAATATCTGAATAATACACTACAGTATTGTTCCACCTTGTTTACAGAATAAATGAAAACCACGACTCTAAAATACAACATGTGATTTGTGTGATTAAGTTCTTATAAACTCACATCCAGACGTTTTGCTTATGAAAATAAGCAAATGGAGTAATAACACTGACAACACAACATTAAACAGTAACTGACTCACAAGCTAATACCAAAAGATTGACAATTCTTTTGTTGCTCAGATTTGGACCAAAAAGAATCCATGTATACCTTTTTATGATAGGAATATCTATGAAATATCTAGCATGTCAATTCTAATGAAAATGATGTAAAAAGATGTGTGTATATATTAATATTAATAACATATTTCACAATATGTGAAATGATAGTAAATCAACAGTGATAAACAGTTATGCCACAACAGATCAGGGCCGTTAAATAATAAATCACCCAACAGCAACAAGATCAACCGCTCAGTTATTGACAAGTGAAGAAAAAGACACGATAAGCAAAGGGTTTGTTTTGCGCACGTATGCACGTAAGTTTAATTACCATGGGGAGCGAGAAAGAAGGGGGGGGGTGGGTTGACATAAGGGGAGTGGAGTATTGGTAAAACTGACGCAACGGGGAAACGCCCCCGTTCACACACGGCAGAGACAACTTCACATTACATCACACGCTACATTTAGTCACAAATGCCCCCCGGCCCCTACGTGGTGACGTCAGTAACACTTCACTTGAGGTTGTTGATATAAATCACTCAGCTGCACCCGAGACAAAGAGGAGGTCCAAACCGTCGCAAGATCTTGTTTGATGAACGAAAGTAACTCAGCGGGGGAATGAAAGGTTAAAGAAGAGAATTAAAAAGGTCGCACAGAGGAAAAAGGGTTCCAGGTCGAAAGAGAACAGAATTCACAGTTAATTGCTTCTTTCTTTCTCGTATTAACTAGGATGCAGCTACTCTTCCTACAAAGCCACAAAATAAATACTGCGTACAATCAAACCAAATCAATCTGGTTTGACTGTGAACATTTGGGAACGATGAATATGAGGAGTGATGGTTCGGACTCCACGGTGCCCGACGCGTCCTGTTGCTTTAACTAATGAGTGTCTTTAGTTTTCTGTAGTGCTTTTACACACAACCAAACCTGATCGTCTAAACAGTGCCATCCAGGATCTGTGCCAATGTGCTTGAGTTTGCCTGTTTGAGGTGCAAGTCACCCTCCAGTTCCTGCTTGCCACACCTGTAGAAAATAAGACACATGTAGTGTCACTGTTAACAGTCTGATCACTCCCAAAGTCTTCCCTTCATGGCTGTACTTACCTGCACCGGTGCAAATTTATCTTGATGTAGAAATATATGAACATATATACACATACATGTGTGTAATAAAATGATACAATAAAACAGGAAAAAACATCAGGACCACATTGAATACTGTAGAAAGTAACTGATTTAGGGCAGTGTTTTTAATCCTCGAAGAAAAAAATGTTATGCGCTTATCCTACGACCCGAGATACTAATCAGAAGAAAAGCCTTCAGTTTGTTTTCACAAAATCAATAGATTATCTCCAAAGGTTCTCTAGGAAACATGCAGCACTTGGGAGATTAGTAGAGCATAAGTGACAAACGCATCCATTTTATGATAATTGAAGTGTTTACACGGGGCAATTTTTATCTGATTACTCATTATGGTCATTAGCAGAATGAAAGGCTTATTGTAAAAACGCAGAGAGACCGTGTTTGTCGAAGCTTACCGAGAGACTGGTCCGTTTCCTGTCCTTTCACCTGACTGCTGGTCCAACTCCGAGAGCAACTTTAATATATTCAACGCGGCCTGTAGGGGTGAAGAACAGTGCAAGTTACAGCGTAGGACAGAGAGAATGATTACAATCCTAATTGGCCTAATCCTAATCTTTTTCTTTTTTTAGAAAGATCCTTTTTAATGCATAAATTTAATACATAAAATACAAAATATATTCCTTCTCTACAATCTATTTTATGTTGCTGTTAAGACCTCTCCATCAAATAACACGTTTGAACATATTGTGATAAAAATAAATATATGTATTTTTGCAGATTTTACAGCGTAAATACTCCTCCATGCTTTGTTATTGTTGTACGATACTGTTGTGACACTAAAATGGGGCAATTCACATTTTATTAAGCTGAAAATGTTCAGCATTTTATCCCTGTTGGTTAAAAAAAACTTACCATATCATGACAGGATTCTACATCTTTTCCAATCCCATGACTGATGAGCGGTGGTTGGAAGGAGCAGTTAATTAGCGATACAAACTCATTTTTATTGTTTTTGGGGAAATCTTTGTATTCCACCTGCAAGCAAATAAAAGTGGTCAATGAACCTTTACCTTTTTTTCCGTCTCAATCGAATGCACTCAAAATAAACATGAAGTCAGTTACCTGCAGGCCTTGTACTGATGCCAGAAAGCTGAGCTGTTCTGAAGGCCTGGCGAGGGGTCCGTGGGGAAGTTGGTGCAGATTATTTTTGTTCTTTAGGATTGTCTCGGCAGTCGGGGACGTCCCCGCGTAAAGCAGCTCGTTGGCAATCATGGCAGTGATTGTGGCCTTGCCGGGGTTGGGCACGGCGCGACTGTAGTCTTTAGCCTGGGATGCCTGGAAGGCCCCCACTGCTTGAGCCACTTCAGGGACCATGGGCAGGATGCCGGCAGGTAGCTGCTGGTGGCTCAGGTAAGGCAGGCGGAAGTCCTCCTCCTTGGAACCTTCGCAGAAAATGCCCATTTCAAAAGGGTGAATTGGAAAATAATGACACAACTACCAAATATTGGAGTTCACAGATCTGCGGTTTCTTACACAATGCCACCTCCTCTACAGAGCCAGGCTCAAAAAAGGTCACTTTGCGGCCATCACCAGGCTTCTTCAGTGGGATCTAAATATTACACACCCGATGGAAAAGAATGAAAGTTTGTCAAAGATATCAAATATTTATTGTCGGGAATGTTCAGACAAACGTTGCCGCGGTACCTTTTCGTCTGTTTTGAGTGCCGGTTTCGGGGGCTGAGGCTGAGGCACTTTGTATCCCAAGAGCTCCAGCATCTTCTCCGCTGCGTTCCTCTTGGCCACCTTCTTACTGGGGCCCATTCCTTCGGCTGTCTGGCCGCACACCGTCACCTGTACCACGGGACCCCCCCCCCCCCCGCCGGCGGCCGCAGAGGAAAAGAGCCACACGGGTGAGAAATCAACGAGGAACAAGGCCGGTATGGGTCGGCAAGCCTTTTGTTGTTGGCGTTCTATCACCTGCATGACGAACTCCCTGCGCCGAGGTAGACCTCTCTCCGTCACCATGCTGTACTCTGGTTCCTTCTCCTTCTTGGCCTGCTGGATCTGAGCCAGGCGGCTGATGGGATTCATTCCCTGGCCGTATTCTGGGCTGGTCTGCAGCTGTTGGGTGTGACAAGTGAATCGCTACTGTGTGAGGAGTCGTTAGGCCAGAACCAAGGATGACTTACGGCGGCTCCCCGGTGCGTTACCTTAATAATGGATTTGGTTTTCTTTTTGATGCGGGGCAGTGTCTTCTCCACACTGGGTATGTGCGGTAGCCTCCTCAACTCCCCGAGCACTGCAGCTGCTGCAAGCTTCTTGGCAATTTTTTTACTCTTTCCTTCGCCCTCTCCAGTGAACTCCCCGGCTGTCACGCATACTACAAAACTCTTCATATGAGGGGGGCCTTCTTCCTTTAAAACCTGGGAAACAACATCGTCCAATCATGATACAGAAACCTTTGTCGTGCATGTTGTCTACATGTCACTGAACTAATGTGTTCCTGTAAAAAGAAATGCGGAAATAACCTCAAAGTTGACAGGTAAGTTGCGCTTAAGTGCAATTTCAAACACTTGACTGATTTCGGATTTGTTGAGGTTCTCCTCCTCCTCGGACTCTCCATTCATCTGTCAAGAGGACGACAATTTTAATGAAGGAAATTGCGGCGATAACGTTGCAAAATGCTTTCTAGCGCCATTTCATGCTGTATGTATGTATGTGCACTTATTTTCTCACCACTGGCAACTGTTGCAGTATTGGCTCCTTGTGAAGCACTTTCAGGGCCTTGGCGGCAGCTTCATGTTTGGCCAGCTGCCGTGTGCGTCCCTTCCCAAAAAACTGCTGGCCCCCGATGGAAAGCTCCATATGGTATATTATTGGTCCCACTGGAGGAAATGGGTAATAGTACCTGGACATAAGAGAAAAGGTTGTCACCTGCATTTCAAACTCCGTAAAATATTCCATAATCAGAACAGAAATGGAAGAATGTCCTCTTAAGGAAACTCACTGTTGCATAGAGCGCTGGTAAGGTCCTGGAGCCCGAACGTTATAATTGAAGTTTGGCGGTCTCATCCCCGGGTATGGGTCGATGGGTTTATACATGGGCTTTTTACCGATCTTCATACATAGTGCATTTAACTCCATGGTGTGTGTCATGCCGTCTGCTGTAAGACCAGCACAAAGAAAAACAATACATGTGAAAACTCTTTTCTTGCCAAGCGTCCAATAGAAAGCGACTGCAACAGAGCCAGTGGGAGGAGCCCGCCGGGGTTCTTGCCTGTGTTGCGGGGCATCCTCGCGGTGGGCTTGGGCAGTGTCGTCTCAGCGAGGGCAGACGCAGCAGCCGAATGCTGGGCTTTCTTGATGCTGGTACCTTCTGCCTCCCAGTGCTGATCTCCCAGTGTGAGTCGAACTGAGAAAATCTGAAGACGACGCGGGAGAGAGGAAATACAACAGATTGGCCGTCACCATGGCCGAGAGCCAGCATTGTAAAAAAGGAAAAAAGGATCCGTGAAAGTACCTTGGAGTGAGCTGGTCCTTGCTCACACAGCAGCTTGTACTCAGGTTGGATCTTGTTGAAACGGGCTAACTCATTCACCAAACACATGGGGGTCTTCTCTTTAGGGTTTGCCATGTTAGATACTGTGACAAAGCAAAAAATGAAATGCAAAATAATCACAACTAAGCAAACAGACGCGACTTCTACTCCCAAAGTCTGACAAAATATCACTTAAAAAGAGCCGCAGTGCTTCATGGACCTTTTAAAGAATAAGAAGTGTACAATCCAAAATATTTCAAACACAGAAGCCCTTCAAATGTTAGTGGCTAGACAAAAAAAAAAAAAAACTTTACCGTGGCACCAATGACAACAAATGCATGAAACAGACCTGCATTATAGGGAGTGGCCGAGCCTGCGGGGAGAGCGGAGCTCCTGATGGGCTGGCTGGCGCTCTCCGAGGGTAAGGTGCCCGAGGGACAGGGGATGCTGTAGCAAGGCTGCGGCTGCATCGGGGCGGAGGCAGCCATCATTGGGCTCGCCGGGCACTGAAATTGGAGCTGGGACATGGTGGTCGGTGCAGCTTGTAGCGTAGTCAACCTCCGGCCGAGGTCGAGACGAGAGCTCGGCAGTGCAGCAGTGGTGAACGCTGGAGCGGGAGGGAACTGTTGACTGAGGACGTCTGGATGTGAGCTCTGCCTGGGAGAGTCAGGGGGGGGGGATAAGATAAGTGAGATGCCAAAGGAAGTAAATGGAATTTGTTTTCTATCCACGTGAAAGAAATGCACCATCACAGATACCGGAGCCTCCGGGAAGACGCCGGACACATTACACATAACCATATTATGTGGTTATCGGTGGACAAATTGCCGTACAAATGAATGAACTTGCATGTTTAAATTGTGTCAATGAAGAAATGGAGAGAATGTGCCAAAAACAAAAGAAAAAAACACAGCTGGCTAACTTGACTTTGTTGTTGTTGTGTAGAAACACCGCTAACCAGCTGGCTTCTCATATTGAACTTTATACTATGAAAGACACGTTTTGCACTTTTGATCATCACAATTGATTGACTGAATGGTATTTAGAATATGCTGACTGTCAATCCGAAAAATAAGTGACAAAAAAGATCCCCTCAAAATGAAACATTAACCAGATTTTCTGCCCTGGTTTTTGGATTGTCATTAGTCAAAGTTACATTATATGTTTACCATTTCAGATGTATTCAAAACAATAGATATTTCATCTGTGGCAATAGTGACGGAATGTATTATTAGGGAGTTTATGTGTGTCATTGTGACTTTTAACAGATTACTTAATTTTACAACAAGTTTAACACACAAAGACAACTCTGGTAGCTTTACAAATGTATATTAATCTAAACATGATCAGAATGCACATGATACTGTTCTGATCCTCCTCACAGGTAGAGCTCTTTGTGCAGGGTCCCGACCCCCCTAACCCAACGTTAAAGAGCTCATCTTCATCCATTTAATCTCATCTTCCACTGTTTCTCCAGCACCTGGTTTCTCAATAGAAGACCCTTTAAAGTCATTGCGAGGGGTCGCCCACACTCCGGGTGCCGTGGGGCCCTTTGGAGCCTCGGCGATTTCATTCAAATGGTCAGATTTTAACAGGTGACACGTGCTATTAGTATTCACGGATGACTGAACGTAACGGTACCAATGAGTGGAGAAAAAAAGGTCCCCCATCAACATGCCGTTACTTGTAGCAGATTAAACAGCAAGCTAACCTGGCTAGCTGACACATTATGCAGCGTGTCCTCACAGGAATGGGCTTGTGCATCCCACAATGAGTGGACACTCGTGTGTGATGGTGTCTACACAGCAGACATTACTGGAAGAACAAGCTGTAAATAAAAGCAGGCCGACAGGTCCGGTGGCTTTGTGAGAACCCCTCGCCCCCAGAGGACCCGGTTAGCCAGCTAGCTGACTTAGCTAGTGGGTGGAGATGATGGGACGGGGGGGAGGACCCGCAACACTTAACGTCAGCTGAACGGGTGTCCGGGAAGAAGCGGCTCATTAGCAGCAGGACGTGACACCGCCAGTCACGCGTCGCGCGGTGTTTCCCGGGGAGGCTGAGCCGGTGAATTAGCTCGCTAGCTAGCTAGCGTTAGCGTCAGCTAACCCCCGCGACAAGTCACCGGCAAAAAACGAACCTCACCTCGTCGTTCCCTTTGTTCGGTTTTTAAAAGTACTCCATAATACACGTTGGTTCCCTATCGCTTGCTTTAGGTTAGTGGTCAAGTTTGAAGAGTCAGTCTACGTTGTTTAATAGATATCAGAGTGCCGGCGGGGAGGAGGTGGACATTGGGAGAACAGGGCAAACACTAAAGAGAGTGGCTCCGTCTGGATCCGCTTTCCGGGAAGTGACATCAGCTGAAAGGAAGCGCTTCCACAATAATGCCGGGTTCATTTGTGAGAGGTGTCCCGATTTTACATACCATCAGTGCAAAGGGCAGCGCACGAGCACAAAGGACGGCTCGTCGCAGACAAGACAGTAGAAACAAGGTATTAAGAATTTTATTTTTATAGTTGTACCAATAAGCAAACGCACACAAAAAAAAATACAGGTTTTGTAGCACCATCAATCCCATGTTGTAAAACAAACGCACACACAAATGACTATGAAGCTCATTATGCTAATAAATACAAAATCGATCATGATTGACTATAAAATATTGCTTCTATTGTCTATCATCCTGCCTACACTAAAGGATAACAGCGGTGGGTGAGCTGGCTAGCGTGGTTATTCTCACAAGTTACAGGTTGTATCCCTGGCAGATGTTGAGAGAGTCTCTCAGCATCAGGTCACGCAGGCGCCACAGTGCATCCGCCATAGTTGTGTGGGCTCCCTTGCTCTTCAGCCAGTGCGCCGGCAGCCGGCTCTCCTGCTCTTTGGTCATGTGCGCGTCACGCCTCTGAGCTGTGATAGAAACATAGGGTTAAAGTACTCCCAACTAAGGAGGACGATGGGGAGTTTTTTCCCCCCGCACTTTACTTTACGCGAACAAAATCAAGAGCTTCCCTAGATTAAGAAAAGAATTGAGGAACACCACCTTTGAGTGTTTGGTCCCACTTGCTGACACTGCTAGACTCTGAATTCAAGCCCTCGATGTACTTCAGATAGGCCTCTGAGTGGAGCACCCGCTGGGTCTTTGGGGGCGGCGCCACAAACATGGGCGTGGTGGGCTGCAGGTGTGAGGGCGAGCCTTGGCCTGGATATGGTGGGGGAGCATGCGGTCCCGGGCTGAACATCCCAGGCTGAAAGAAACAATAAAAATACACTTCATAAGAATGAAATTTGTTTATTTTCTTTAATTTGCACATTTCTATTCTAACTTGTTATGTGTGTGAAAACACACCATAACCAAATCTCATTACAAGTAGAACACTTCATTTAAAGAATAAATTATGTGAACTCAGTAGAATGTTGTGGACTGGAGCTCACCTGTTGCATAAAGTTTCCTTGTGTCGGACTTCCTGCCATACCATTCATACCAGCGCTCATCATACCTGTTAAATGACATCATTTAGTTGCTGTGTATTTTAATAATTAATTCAATTACTGGGTTAGAAACTGCCAACATGTTTTACAAAGACTTGTAAAAATGTTACTTTTTCCAGGATCAGCTGAATATTAGTAGCTTGAATGAATGAATTATTCCGTCAAACGTGAATCCTGAATATTTTAGGTCCAGCATACAAGAACACTTGTTGGAGACCATAGAACAACGACTGCTCGGTGAGTAGATCAGGCAGGCCAGCCTGTGGACCAGGTAAACCCCTCTAGCAAGAGGGACACGACTGGATGGGACCGAGCAGGCGTGACTGGGACATTGAACCTTACCCTGATGAAGCATGCCAGGGTACCCAGGCATGCCTTGCTGAAGATGGTGGTGAGGCAGAAGGGGCCCCCCTGCATGGTGAGGTAGCATAGTGGCCACGCTCAACAAGCCTTCATGGGGGCCCTGCATGGGCATGTAAGGTTGGCCGTAAGCTCCCATCATGCCTTTGGGAAGGAGGCAAGGAGAGGACAACAACATATACATGCATAAGTGACATGCAGGTGACTCTATAATAACATGCACTACGACAGCCCACTGCGACCCCTTTCACACATGCACCTTCAGCTACGCATGCTCTCTAAATATTTCAGTTTGTTTATGAGTGGTTAAGACATTAATGAATGTGCAAGTCCAACTTGAATGGAAATGAAAGCAGCAATATACCCGTCTAAAGCTGAATTGTCTTACTTGGTTGGCTTTACATAAAGATAACTGCACATTCGATGAAATTGTGATATTATTTTGACATGATTTAAACGAATACTCCTTAAAATTCGGAGGTATTCTTTTTTTCAGGAAAGCCATGCATGTCTTTTTCTGTATTAAGAGACCAATGTGTGGATGACGACAACCCACCGGCTCAACCAAACAACCAGACCTGACAATGTTAACGGTTCAATGTGGGTTGGGGGGGGGGCGTATAAATGGGTCCGAGAATGAAAGCAGGCAGAACAAACAGATGAAATGAGGTTTTTAGTTATTAATGGTTGTAAATATATCATGCAGTTCGTCTCATGCATAAATATAAAGCTGGTAAAAGAAAAAATAACTAAAACAATGTGAAACAGCTACAAAACAAACCGGTTGCTGTAGTTTCCAGACGAATACGAGTAAGTAAAATAAAATAGAAATTTAAAACTTAAAAATAGATTAAGCCTTTTAACCGTCCAGCCGCATTTTCCTGCTGCCTGGTTGTCAAACACTGGTGCTGCCTCTGGGGGGGGGCTACCTGACAGAGGTGTTATGGTCTGGTTGATCATTCCCATAGTGCTAGGCGAAGGTACCACCCCCATCAGTGTCCCTACGGGGGTACCTGCTCGTGGGGACGCTTGCTTCTGAGGCGGTCTCTCTCGCTCTTGTTGATCCACTATCTTGGCTGCACGCTCTGAAATGAACCAAACAGTTGGCGTCTTGACTTCAGTTCTGATTGGCGGACTCCTACACCGGCCAAATGCTTATTCTCACCTTCATAGTCAGCTTTCTTGGTGGACTCAAGGTTCCTCCACTCGGTGCCCACCAGGCGACTCAGCTCCCCGAAGGAGAAGTCTGGGTGTCGAGCTTTGATGACGGCCCGCATCTCACTGCTGAACAAGATGTAGCCACTCATGTTGATCTTCCTCTTGGCCCCTTCCTTCTTAGACATGCCCTTTATCTTCGGAGTGGACTTCAATGGAAAACAGAAATGCAAGTTAAAAAACAGTTTGTCTTTCATCATGACAACATGGGGTTGTGTTGCCTTTGGGTTGGGGTTGTATGGATACCTGAGGGGTGTATGGCAGGGCATCCATATCATTTGCTAGAGGGGTTTGCATCTGAGGCATAGATGGTGTCTGTGGAGCCTCATCGTCATCGTCCATGTCTTCCATATCATCGTCTCCATCCTCTATATCTGCCAGTTTAACCTCAAGCTCATTGATTTTCTTGTCCAAAAGGGGGGACGCTTCCTTCTGCGGTACGATTAATTTCCTACACAGAAAAAGACCCCACCCAATTCAGACCCGGAGAGAAACTTCCTCCAATCAGAGACAGTGCTCCGCTTGATTGACTGACCTGAAATAGTAGATCTCATCCTCCACCACTTTGGAAGAGTACGAGAAGCGTTTCAGACCCTTGAACTTTTTCATCTGCTTTTCCATGTCAATGTAGCGGCTCTCGCACAGCAGGACATCCTCCTCTGAAACCTCGGTCGGTCTGCATGACAGGTAGTCCTTAAAGGAGGACACCACGCACTTGCCTGGGGATGAGAGCGTTCGAGCAAAACTTGTTAGTTAATACAAGTATGCCAAGTATCATCAATTAAAATAATGTTGCCGGCAAACAGGCAGCTGAATATTAGTTTGGTAACATGCTTGTACCCCGTTTAGTGGAGACTAGTGTAATTGTGGTTGGAAATAATTGGTGATCAGCTATGAGAGCGTCAATGGTTTTATTTAACTTGGTGGAAAATAGGTCGCAACTTAGGACCCACAATGTTGAACTATTCCCATAAGTGCATTAACTGTGATATAATATAAAATATAAGTTATCAAAGCAGAACCTATGACGCAGGTAATGGGCAAGGTCTCCTCCAGGTTGCTCAGAAACACTTCTCTCTTGTAGAACATCTTCGTGGGTTCGTGCTCCGTTTCCTCAGGGTGAATAAAGATGGGTCCAAAGAAGAAAGTAGTTCCGTTCTGCACCCACAGCTTCTCTATCCTGCAGCCGAGTGAAGACGGCAACGTTACCGATAGCTAAAGATTCCGTGATAACCGTTGTATGTAAAATACTTCCACCCACCTGGCAACCCGGGGCTTTGACAGGCCGTGTGACTGAATGTAAACACAGTCTCCCACTTTATACCACATTTCGTTGTAGCGCATCTGTTCATAGTGCTGACAGCCGGGATCGGCTCCACTCATCTCAATGGGGACGTCCTCTCTCTCCTGCGCAAATAAACAACGACACACATATTTTGAGTAAACGCTTATATCTTGAAGTAACTACTCCTCCACCACCACACTCCTTGTCGAGACGCACCTGCTAAGTAGAGTTAATTATATATATATATTTATTTGTTATTTTGTTATTCGTGTAACATCACCTCACCTTGTCAATGGCGCTCCCGCTGCCTGCATATGAGATTGTCAGCTTGTCGTAGTCCGGCTTGGCGAACATGGAAGCGACGCGGACAACGGGCAGCGGCACCTCCCGGGGGACGAGTTTCACCGAGCTCACGGGCACGGCCATTATCTTGATCTTCTTGAAGGACTTGTTCCTGGCAGCGTAGCGAGATTCGCAGATGTACACGTCCTCTGCTCTGTAGCCCTCGGGTTTCATTTTGAAATAATCCTAAATACACCACCACCACCAACAAAAAAAACCCCTCAAGATCCTTGCATGAAGACCAAACTATTTGCATGAGTGATTCAGATTCTGTAGAAAGTCTTACCTTTATACACAGGACCACACATTTGCCCAGAACTTTACTGAGAGACACTTTGTTATAGTAGTCGCTCTTGAAGACCTCCTTTTCAAGAAACTTACGAGTTGCCAAGTGGAAGGTTTCACTTGGTCTGTAGAACCAGCAGCCATAGAGCCATTTCCCACCTTCACACACAAGCCACAAACAAACAACCGAAAGAAGAAACAAAGTATTAAGAAAATAGAAAACACTAAACTAAATTATAATCCGTCATATGAATGGTACAAAACCAGCCGTTTATATGATAGTTTGCGTAAAGATGTCCGAACCAAACTCATGACAGTTTCTTTTTTTGAAAGAAAAGAATGGACGTGCGTTACCTGCTTTATCCTCCCACAGGCGCTCAATACAGACAATGTGTGGTTTCAGGTTGACCTCTGACGGCTCCACATAGACAAAGTCCCCCACATGGTAGGTGGTGTTTTCAAAGCTGCAGTCCTGAGTGTAGACACGCTCTGACTCAGGATCTGGCTGACCGGACTCTCCCTGCAGGTCCTCGGCTTTCACCCCCCCTTTAAATGAAAAAGAAATCAAACAATTTCACCTAATCAGTTCAATACATTTCTAATACCGGTTTAATTAGCCAGAGGTGTTCACCTACCTTTGTTTTCCTGCTTCTCTTCCTCAGCCTTTAGCCGATCCTCCTCAATCTCTTTGGGAATTTTCTCCCTCTTCTCCTGCTCCACGTCGCTGTGCAGGTGTTTTGAAGTGTAGATCAGTGAAGAGGACTGCAGAATCTCTCCGTTCTTGCATAGCTCATCCCGGATTTTAATGAAAAACTGTTGTAGCTCCACTGCATCCTCAAAGATCTCGGAGTCAGTCCTGCAAATGCATAAAGGACATAATTTAATTCACCTAACACTGTTATGCTGTTTAATAGAAAATATTACACTGTTTTAACAAGTATGACTTAATTCTTTCTTAATTCAAATCAAATTGTATAAATATAAAACTTTGTAAAGTACTGTCGTCATTCTGATCTCACAGGATCTGAAAACAGACCACTTCAGTGTAATTTTTTTCCCGTTGAAATGAAAGAAGTTGTGACCAAACTTTTCACTCGTACTGCATTTCCCACCTTGATGACATTCGAGTCTCCTCAACATTATCTGCCTGGGGGTGGAGAGGGGGGGGTTCCCCCTAGACTGAGCAAAACAAACCTTATTTTCACAGCTATAAGAGAGGAAAAGTCGATATACCTGTGCAGTCTCCTCCCCTTCTCCAACACCTCGAACATGTGTTCCTGGAAGACGTCCAGTCTCCTGTAGTGGCCCCGTTCCACGTTCACCCTGATGACATCAAAGTTTAGCGGTGGCTTTTCGGGGGCCGCTGGATCCACGGCGGCTATCTCGGCCAGAGAGTCGCTGTAGCATCGGCCCTCCTCGTCCTGGTGGCCCATCACGGAAACAAACAGGTTCCTGATCAGCTCTCGCACCAGATGTCCCACATTAGGAGGTCCGAAGTCCTCGCCTCCTTCCTGCTGCTTGCGCGTCTCCAGCAGCACCCGGTGCAACACTAGAGCGTCCCGATAGATGAGGGACTCCGGCTCATTGTAAATGCAGGCGTTGTTGAACATAAGAGAAAATTCCTCCACCATGGCCTCGACGTCTTGGTAACGGCCGGCCGCCATGTGGCTCCGGAGACGCTCCATGTCGATGGGTCTCTTGATGGTGGCGTAGTAGTCGGGCAACTCGGCACGAGATGGCAGGCGAAGGAAGATTGTGCTCAGGCGGCGGCCTCGTCGGTCGGTGAAGTTCCGCACTGCGTCGTACAGCTCGTTTAGCCTCTGCTGAAGAGGGGTGAGGTATTTGGACTTCTTCGGAGAAACTCCAATCTTTCCTTAATACAAAAATACACAAAACAGAATTGTAAAACCAAAAAGGGGATCCTAGAAAAACACCAGGGCCCTCAATAAAGTACAGATCTCGGTGTGAACTAAAAGTCAGGCCATTGTTTTCAGTTACCATTGTGCAAACCAAATAAATGGCAAAATTGAGATAGAAATTTGCTTGCTATGATATATTAGAGAGCCCGTAGTCGTTTAAAGCTTCTGCTGATTCCTTTTTGTACTATAATAACAAAATGACGGAAATCATTGGATGGTATAATATTCTGCGTCTATGTTGGAGTCACAACAAGCTCCATCTGATTTTTAATGGGCCAAAACTTGGAAAAACAGTGACACAATCAAACTTACTTAGTTTCAGTTTGGGAGATACCAGATCTTCTTCTTCGGGGAAAGGACCCATCTCCTTACGCTTGTCTTTCAGTATCTTCTCCAGAATATCAGCATCATTATACACCTGCATTGATCACCACCCCCCCACAAAAAGTAGCCATTGCCGAGATTGTTTTACAACGATCACAATGCATATTTTAATCTGTATGCACTTTTTTTTTTTTTTACCTGAGATCCCTCCTCGTTGTAATGCCGGGCGTTTCGGAACATCAACCTCATGTCTTCCATCAAAGCATCCTCCGACACGTAGCGCTCAGTGTGGATGCTGTGCTCAATGGTCTTCAGATCCATCGGTTCTAGGATGACTTTGTAGTAGTCAGGGTAGTCCTTCTTGGATGGTTTGACCATAAACAGATCACAAAGACGACGGCTGGTGCCGGCCTCCCTGGCCTCAGTCACCGCAGCGTATAAAGTCTTCATTCGGTTCTTTTTGACATTTTTCTTGTGGCTTTAAAAGAATAAATAGTAGAATATGAATGAATAGAATACTAAATATTTTCTTTGAGAAATACCTTGGATGAACAAGTCGTTAAAATGGAGAGAAAACCGTGGATACCTTTTCCTCTTGACGCTCCCCGCATCAGATGACAGAAGGCTGTCTCCTTCCTCATCGTCCCTCCTCACGAGTCCCCTCTTTTTTGCCTACACCAACAGACAGGTGGATATGTCAGTAGACAAAGACCCTTATTTCTGCAAGTTCCTCCATTGTTTGTTTTTTAATTACAGCATATTATTTTCATTCTTGGCCTGAATAGAGTTAAAGTAAAAAATAAAAACCTGCAAGATCTGCTGAAGCCGAAAGGCCCGTTTGTAAATGCTTGAGTTAGGCATGTTGTAGCGCTTTGCATTCTCAAACATCAGATTGAGGTCCGCCTCCATCTGCTCCACACTTTCATACTCGCAGTTCTTCATTTTTGCCCTTAAAAGATAAAACCAGACCACAATATTACAAATGGAAACAAACAAAACATCACACGTTTTTTTAAACAATCTGTCACAGCCTCTCAACGCGATACCCACTGAATCATCATTCCTTACCGGATCTGCTGCAGGGCGATGGGTTGTTTGATCTGTTGATAGTAGTCGGGATACTCCCTGCGTGAGGGCAGGTGCTGGAAAGGTTCGGAGAAGACCTGGCCCTGGCTGTTCCTTGCACCCCTCACAGCTTCATAAAGCTGGAAGATCGGGTTGCTCATCTCCATGCTGGAACTCTGACTCTCAGCCTCCGACTCTCCCTCGTCGTAGCACACAGAGCCTGGAGACATCGAATGGGGGACTCTTATTATTTCAAAACAAAAAAGTAGAGATGTATCTGCTGCTGATAATTACCAGAGAGCACAGGGTCGTCCTCACTCTCTGAACCATAGTGGAGAGCTACACTGACGCCAGAAAGTTGATCACCCTGGCCAGACCTGCGATTTCTGAATGGTAAAGGATAAATACACTGTGTAGGTGTTTTTTTTTAATGAGAATCATTTGTTGATAGAACTGTGTCACTTAATACCTTATGCGAAGACTGGATTTAGTGGGTTCAGCATGTTCAAGTTCAGTCTTCCGCTGGATGAAGACTTTCTTTATGGTGTTCGCATCCTATACAACAACAAAAACGAGAACGATTGTTAAAAGTTTGTTTGAAACATCTTCTAAAAAAGGAAACAAGAAAACCTTAAATCTTACCTTAAAAACCTGAGATCCTGGTTCATTGTACGTTTTGGCATTTTTGGCCATCAAGTCAATGTCCTTGGCCATAGCATTGACACTTTTATAGTATCCAATCTATGCAAATAAATAATACAACAATGAAGCTAGCTGTAAAAACAACAACACGATAAGTTATGATATTTGTGATTTTTAAGGAGGACTGACAAAGGACAAGGTGATCAGTCACTACCTGTATTCTTTGAGCGATCGTTCGGAGATCTATTGGCTCCTTTATAATGGCGTAGTAGTCTGGGTAATGCTAGGAACAAAACAGGCCAATAATTGTCAAGAATGAACAATTTCAGGGGACAAATTAAAGGCTAAAACCAAAGGACTTACCACTTTGGAAGGCAATTTCTGGAACAGCTCGCTGATCAGACGACCTGAGGGATCAGCGTGTGACACCAAAGCCTCCAAGAGTTGCTCAAACAATTCCTTCAAATTGCCAGTCGGGGTCTAAAAGATAGAATAGTATGAATTGGTTACTTGCTATGACAAACATACAAAACACCTCCAATATATCTTTGCTGTGACACACTTCAGTTAAAACTCACAGGTGAGTCATACAAGCAGGCAACAACGCTTTTAGGAATGCAAGAAAGGAAAATAACAAACCTCATCTTCATTTGACATTCCCGGATTATCCATCATATCATCACCGTCTTCATCATCCTCATCTCCGTCCCCAGGTTGCACAAACTCATTCCTCGTTTGCAGATAGACCTCCCACAGTTTGCATGCAGCTTGATACTCCTCAGTATCACTCTGAGTTATTGAACAAGAAAGGAATTATGCAAATTAATAAAAGGTTGTATTTCGCTGTATAAAAGGGGACACTTTAATCGTACTTACCTTGTAGAATAATTTGGCATTGTTGAACATGAGCTGGAAATCTGCAGTAAGCTGCTCCACATCATTATAATCCTCTGACTTCAGTTTGTACAGAATCTTTGTCATATCAATTGGCTGGGACACTGCTTCATAATAATCGGGCTGATTCCTGGGGGGGGGGGGGGAGAGTGATCAGGCTTCACTTAAACATCTGTATGTTGGTACAGTGTATGATGGCCGGTCTACATGTAAACTGATGAGTGGGACTGTGTTCTATGATGGTCGATGATTGGGCGACAATACCTCCTCTTTGGTACCCTTTGGAAAACTTCACAAAGTTGCCTCCCTTGGCCGTCCTTGTGGTCCCTGACAGCGTTGAACAGCTCGTGGCACACAGCAATCTAAAGACAACGAGGCGTGAAGGATCAAAAACTGGTTTGCTAATCCACGCAAAGAAGATTGCCCGAGCGGCGGTTGTGGTGATAGTATGAAACAAGTGTCTTTACTGTATCTACTGGAGCAACGTTTGAGATTCTTCTTCTTTTTCTGCCACTGCCAGGCGTGGAGGAGGAATCATCCAGGTCCCCCCCTCCACTGACACTGCTGGAGGGCGAAGTAGCCCTTCTCCTCTTGGAGCTCGCGGACATCGCTTGTTCAGCAAACAGGCTAGCCCGCTAGCTGCAAACGGAGGATAACGTTATTGTGGGTAATAATCCGATTGACACGCGATTCATTCTAGGCAAGGGAAGAATTGGTCGTGCGTCTCGCTATTTGCATACAGACTAAAAACAGACAGCAAACTCAACCGGCTAGCGATAGCACCGCCTGAATGTTAGGAAACAAAAGCAGCGGAGCGGCGGTTAGCTCGATGCTAGCGTGCTATCATATCTTGCTCGCCGCTTTCCTAACAACGCAACTGAATTAATTCGTCTAACGTTACCAGAAAAAGAACCATGAACGCTGGGATAATTCAAACATATTAAATAACTTTCAAAAGCAAAATCTCAACCAGAACTAACCAAAAATTCACCGTTACGTTAGATCCCTGAGCAAAAATGTGTAACGGCTAGCTTGTGTTGTTTGAAAACTTCTGCTGCCCCGGATGTTGAGGTTATTTTGCGTTTGTGCGCCACTGGGAACAGTGCTGCCCCTTCAGTGCAGGAGTTGTAATGCGCCCACTGAGGTAGATTCACCATCGTCGAGAGAAATCATTGTTTCGGTGTATGAAATGTTATTTAGCCAAGTGCTCATTTTCCTTAGACGGTAGTGTAAGGAGCAAGTTTGCTCGGAAAGAATATATATTCTTTATATATATATAGATAAATTACTAACGTCTCTGGTTTCTTTTTTTTTCAGACGAACACAATAGCATTAATAGCATTTGTTAATGCATAGCAAGAGGACAGTTGTCAAAAAAAACTATGGGTGTGCAAATGGAGGTTAGATGAGAACAACTTTATTCCTGCAAAGGGGATCCATTTTTGAACATGCTAATGAATACATTTGCACACAAATTCTGGCTAAAACAGGTTTAGTTGATACAGGGCATGTATGTGTTTGTCCAAAACGTTTTGTTTTTAAACATTTTTATCGTAAAATCCATCCAGAATCAAGAATCAAAATCGATATCTGAGTTTTCAATGTGCTTGGTTGTCTGCTTGTAGAGCGGGATGAGGGGCGAGATGATTTGCAGATGCATCAGTAGAAATTATCTGAGTTTACAGCATGATGTAACATGAAAGTTGATTACTATGCATCTGCCATGAGGATTAGAGGAACGCAAGGAACACACAGCATCCATATTATTAATGTCCTCCATTAATGTCCTCTAGCTTGTGGTCAATAATAAGAGATTCATGTGAAAAACAAATTTCCCAGTAACAAAAACTTCCTTTAAAGTTGTAATATGACTGTAAGAAAATATTTTTTTGCCATACTATGCTTACAATTAGGCCTCTTCTGGGCCCTGTGACTGGTGTCCAAACTCTAAGTGCTTGAGAGAGCAAAGCAGGGCGTTGCCTCAAAATGACGAGTAAGTAAAGTGTGCATTGGGCCTATTTGTTTAAAACACGCTATTGATTACAATTAGCCCGTAATAAGACTTGTATTTAAACAGGCCGCTCAGCCTGTGCAGCTCTCTACGATGATAGGCTCGGGGACTACATTATTCACAGTGACACGTTCTTCCTGTTCCTCAAAGCCTCTGCAAATTGTCCGCACACTCTGCGCACTCTGCTACACAGCGACAGCGCCAGACGCTTTTTTGAAAATAATAAAAAAGCTGTTGACAGATTTTGTCCCGACTCTTGTCGGATCGCATTATTAGGAGAACAGTGAGGTTTTTTTTTTTGTTTGTCCACATGCGTGTGCTTTTCTTGACGTCAGGAGAAGTGTGAGCGGATCCAGCTCTGCGCACAAGCGCAGCACCCACAACGCTCCCACAGGGAAGGGCAACGCACCACAGCCGCGGATCGCAATTTAGGTACGTCTTTTTTTTTTTTGCAAACGTATCATCGATCGTGCGTTTTGTTTTTTGTATATAAACATATTTTTAATCTGTTGGCACCAGAACTTGTGAAGGTTTGCGTGCGCCTCCATGTCGCATGCCCGCAAAGCCTCCTGATTTAACCCAACGATGCCGCCTTCCTGTGACTGCCTTATATATATATATATGTATTTATATAAATATGTATATACCCTTGAGCGCTGCAGCAGCGCCTTGCATGATCACCACCAGCACGAAGGTGGGACTCCTTTTTTCAGTAATGCGGATCTATTGCACCGGCGCAAAAAAAAAAAAAAACACCCCAAAACGTTTGAGTTCCCATTCATCCCCCTGCTTGCCATTCACGCCCTGCAGGATACCCGAAAAGCTTCTCGGTGAAATGCAGCTTCCGTTTCAGCCGAGCTCTTGCATGCGTAGATCTTTAGAAGCGTGTGCATTGTTTGAATGCTTCAGTTGTATAAATATAGCACATGTCCCCCCCAGCTGGTTTCTGCCTCTTTGGACCATGCGGTAGTTTTCTTGCGGCGGTGCATTGGTGCCCGTGTCCGCTGCACTGTTTGCCCTACTTTCCGTTATTTGTTGCTATTCATTGTTGTCCAGCCGGCGGTGAGCAAAGTGAGCTGTGGTGGACGTGTGTGGGAGACGTTCTTTAGGGGGGAAGTAAGCGTATTCTCTCCTCGGTGTGCAGGTTTATTTATCTGTCTTTCTCAATTTGATGTTTTTGTTCCGATTCATTCATTATTGTCTTACACGACATTTTTCGCAGACTTATCAATATTTACTCTGATCCCCCCCCCCTGTTTTATGTCTGTAAAACACAAGAGATTGCGTTCAGAGATCATGTCTACATGCTTCACTGTTTTCTTTCGCCTTACTTTTGACATTTCAGCGTGTATCATTTATACGGGAAATATCTTCTGTAATTGACATGAAGTGGTTTGGTTTGATTTAGCACAATCCTCCAGGTCAGATTTACATCTTGATTTGAGAACACTTGCCATGGTTCGAAACTTGACTGTTCATTCTCTTGAGTACATTCACTGTATTTGATTCATTTAACGTTGTCCTATTTGCCCCACAGCTGTAGTGTGGCGAGTCCGATCCAGCGTTTGTAGGATGCCCCTGGGAGAGGATGGGAATGGGTGGAAAAAGAAGACAACGGACATCAAAGAACATTACGACTTCAAAGAAGTGCTGGGAACGTAAGTTGCTCTGGTAGTTTAAGTGCTGTTGTCAGGTCATGGCTGACCAAAGACCCTCAGTGGTCCCCAAACACCATAGTTCATGCCAGTTAGCTCGCAGGTAGGCAGTTGGAGTTCTTGTTATTTCCCCCATCCGTGCTGTCAGGGCTGGAGTGTGTGACTCTGGATTCTGAAGTGTCTCTAGAAATTTGACTGACATTTTGGACGTGCCTGTCACTTCGGCCTATTTCGACTCGGACGTGTCTTGTTCTTGGCCGCTGTTGGATGCTCACTAAACTATTTCCCATTTGCCTGGAAGTATTTTAGACACAGCTTTCCCCCCCAGGCCAGTTTGACTCTCCTTTGAGCTCTGCAGAAACATTAGCAAATAGATTCAAGTTTGTATGGATTGTCTATTCAAAGATAACAAAACAGTCAATTACAGAGTGTATAATAACAAAAAAAAGCAGTTTATATATTTCCAGATTAATGGTCTTAATTACAGCCAAAACGCGGTTAATGCAACTGCAATCATATGTGTTTGTTGGTGAGCGTTATCATTAATTCAGTTATTATCTTGGACAACACGACTGTTTTTGAAATGTGTTCTGTTTCAGAGACAATATGACCACAATTTGAGATCTAATGGCAGAATAAAACTTTATTTTAAACCATCCACCACAAAGGATCCAAGCCGATCCTGCCAGGCCAGCGTGGATACTGTGTAATGTGCCTAACGTGTAGATGACATGATATTCAGGCAGTTTGAGCGTCACGAACGACCGAACTTCACTTCCCAGGGGAACAGGACTTAGCCCAGATGGTCCGGCCCCCCACGCCCACCCCCACAGGACTAAGTAGAATCGACCTCTCCCACGTCCACCTGTGATGATACAAGTGGGCCATATGGACCGCGTTGGTTTTCTATCTTCTTGAAAATCGCACCTGCTTCCCCAGAGAGGCTGCACAGAATCTGATTTTAATGACTGTACAACTCTGGTTCACATCCAAAAAAAAAGTGGGATGGCAGTGGGCTGATGATGAGGCTGTCTGGTTGCGTCGAGTGCTGTGGGAGGACATCAAATAAGACGCCATCGGTCTCATGAAGCTCAAGTCTCAGGGATGCGGATGACAGACAGTTTCTCTGGCAAAACGGCTGCCGCTGAACTTCTGTTATGAGTCAAATAATAACTTCCAACAGTGATTGTAATTTGAAGTAAAATATGATTTCTTAAAAGAGATGCGGGGGGGGGGGGGGCTGTAGTGATATTCTGTCCTATAGCTGACCTGGCAGAGGGCAGAATTAATGTGTTGACGGAAAGCTCCTTATGCTGGAGAGAGAAGATTACAGAGCCGCTTTATCCAGGAACTCCGTGCATGAAGTTAATTGATTTATTTTGAAATATTATATTCAGGTGCAGCTAATCCGCGCGGTTCTAGTCCACAGCTTGGAGTCCACTTCCGGACAAACCGTCCAAAGGGTTAGCAGATTGAAACTATTCCTCCCCCTTCGGTCGCTTTCACTTACAGTGAATGTGATGAAATGGAAAACATTGCAGCTGTAAAACTCTGATAAAACTCCCTCGTACTGTGGTTGTAATACCTCTTGTACTTTTTTAGAGTTGTAATCCTGTGAATTCAAAATCAATATGGAGCGTTGCATCTGGTGGCTTAGTCCGTAAAGAGAATATAAGGGTTTGATTAAATATACCTTTTTCTCTGATGTTTACAGAAGGCCAGAAATAGATAGAATGTTGGCTTGGTGTTGATAATGAGGCCTGAGCGTTTGAGTCCCTCACAAGCCGACAGCTTGTCGAGCAGAAACGCGACACTTTTATTCAAAAGATATTTTTATTGAACGTGAGATGTTAAGCATATGTGAGATGGTTGAATATTGTACTCAAAGCATGTGAGAGTTGTGGTGCCTTTAAAAAAAAGAAAGAAACAACTGTATAAGAAGATATGGGCGAGGTGAGTTTTAAGAACCACTCGTGCGGTCCAGCTGGATAATGTGTAGGAGCCTAAACACTGCGTTTGGTACTAAAGACCATTGGAAAGCTCTCATGCTGCTTGTTTATAGAGAAGAGCCGAGGAGTTAAGAGGTTTGACCCACGCGTGACTTCAGTAGAGTAGATAGAAAAGTGAATGATCCAGTCCAGAGCTTTGTCCATATGAAGGACTCAGAATTAACAATGAATGTGGGGATTGTTTGAAATGACATAACGCTGTGTGCGCGTACATATCCACTCTCTCTCCAGCCTCTTTTTCTCAAACACACACACACAGAGAAACACGAACAGAGTATGGATCAGGCTAAAAAGAGAAAGGCTTTTTGCGAGTTGGAGGCACGTTGGACTCAAAGGGCGCCTTCAGGTGATATCGATAAACTTATTCTTGCTGGAATCCGTTTGCCACAGAGCCAAGTGGCCTCACCGACCTTATTGATAATGCACCTTCCGAACAGAAAACAGAGAGCGTTAGGATCAACATTTGACACGGAAGTAGACATCCATCATTTTCAGAGCAAACAGGATTTAATTACATCACACTCGCTTGTCAGGCAAAGCCTTTAAGACATGGAAGAGTGTAAGAAGAGCACATTTGTCACAGTGAAAAGCAGAGAGACGCCGACAGAAGTATGAGAATGTGTGAATCAATATTTTCCCACAAAGACAGCTGGGATTAAAGTGCCTTCAACCACCTGTGTGTGCGTTTGTGTGTCAGACAATGTCTGTGCATCCATCTTAGGGAGATTAATCTAAAAAAAAGTGTTGCGTTAGTCCTCAGGCCAATGACTCATGTGAAACTTATTTATTTTAATTTGTTAACGGCGAGTGCATCTGCACGCCAGGACTCATTTTTTGGCATGAAACCGAGCAACGGATGTGTCAACGTTACAGTGGTCTGCTGCCGGTTGCTGGTGGAAAAATAAATAAACTGTGTGTTCTAATCCGAGGTTGAAGAATTGACGTCTTTAAATCCGGACAGTAATCATCTCACTCCTGCCTAATGCCAAGATTTACACATTAGCAGTTAACTAAATCTCCCCCTTTGTGAATAACAGCACTCGTTTCCAGTCTTCCTCTGACTGCGCCCCCCCCCCCGGGAGCCCATCCCTGCTACGTCTCCAAGTGGAAATTAGCAACTGGATGCTTACAGTAATTATAATGTGTCTCACGGCAACAGAAGAAGCAAGCGGTTCCTTTTTTCTTTTCAGGATTGCTGAATATCGCTTGGTTTCCATCTGTTGGTGTGGGTTCTTGGACAGCGTACCATTTTTATAATATATTACACAATCAAAGCTTTGTTCCACGCATTACCAGAAACTGAAAACATTTTTGTCGGTTGCCAAAATAAGTACTCGGTGTCCACCGTTGAGGCCACGAGTTGTCTCCCGGTGTGTCCCGGCAAATTGACCCCGCTTACATTCTTACAGCCAGTAAGACTAAATACATTAATAGAGTTTTGTTGCTCCTGATCTCCCCGAGGAATAAATGCTGCAGACTTAAACACATTAAAATGCTTTTTTGGGTCGATGAGAATTTGAGCTTCATGTGATTTGGCTTTGAGAGGTCTTTCAAGGACTGAAAGCGGCGATGTGTGCGAGAAGGGCTTCTCCTCGTGTGCATCGGCTTCGCTCGGCAAACGTTTCTGCTGCGCTGGTTTGTTGAGCACAAGATGGCCACGCTACAAAGCCATCTCCGGGATTACCGCAGTTCCACAGTGGGCATTTGTTATGACGCGGCGATGGAAGGATGTGCACCGACGGATGACTCCAGGACTCTTTAATGAACTGTTAATAACCGTTAAAAGCAGAATAAATAGAACGTGAGAGATGTTTGTCTCCTTATTACACGGTCTTTGTTGGCCTGGGATGTCTGAATCCTTCATTTAAGGTTGCACCCATAATTGAACTTCAGATTAAGATGTCCTCAAGGTGCTCCACAAGGAAAATGGGAATATCTGCAAGAAGATGAACATTGAACTCGCATTGTACATTACATGACGGTGCTGTTTGACACACGTGTAAAGGATCCGTGCGGTTGCTAACAATGTTTGTCCTCCAGAGCTCCCTCCCACGCTCCTTTGGGGAGACTGTGTAAATACACACTATTCTGCCTCTCACCATCACCGTGATACATAATGCAGTTGAGTTTCCCTCAGAAACAGCCACAGCACATTTTCTGTATCCATTATTGAAGGGATTAAAAATAGGTTTATTCTTTTTAAACCAGTGATATAAACGTCTGTGTGCGTCTGTTACTGCACCTCTCTGCCCCAAAAAGCTCTCGGTTATGTCACCATTTTGAATTATTTATCTAAACATCACAAACACACATAGACAAGCAGACAAAAGGACACGCAAACGGCAGATATTTGGAGATGTTTTTCAAAGCGTCGTTGATTTCTGAGAAGCAGCTTTTGGGAGGATCAAGCAAAAATTACAAAACGATTTATGTGAAAAGCTCTGAAGGTTTTGTATCATTAGTTCCTTCAAAACGTGAGTCAAATTTAAATCCGTCATGGCCCGTAGACCCTGAGAACAATACTCTCCCATCTTGTCTATTTCAACTCCACCATTACTTTCTTTAATGTTTGCATTCGTTGGTGTGTGCGTGTGTGTGTGTGTGTGTGTTTGTTTCTACTGCCTGGGTTTCAGGGGAGCTTTCTCAGAAGTGGTACTAGCAGAGGAGAAGAGGACCCAGAGACTGGTAGCCATCAAGTGCATCCCCAAGAAGGCATTGGAAGGCAAAGAGAACAACATTGAAAATGAGATCGCTGTCCTGCACAGGTGAGGTCCCCTAAGTTCCTCTCGATGCATCAGCTGGTGCTTTGTGTCCAACGGGACTAATTAGTCTGTGCGGTGTCTTCCAGCGATGCATGCGCAGATGCACAATATATCCAACGGGTCAATTGAATGGGTGACTAAATGCATGGTGTCAGTAGAAACAGTTAGGATTTTCCACCGGAAATGTCAGGAGTAAAGAAGATAAACCTATTTTTAGTGTCCCTGTTGCCAGGGCAACAGCACGCAGAGGCGGAGATGGCGTGGAGTTCCCCGCAGCAGTGTATTGAAGAAAGAGAAAGAGACAGAGATGTTGGGGGAGAGGAGGAGGAGGGGGGGGGGGTAAGGGTATGATGGAAGGAGAGATATATGGCAGAAAGGGAAGAGGGGAGTTTGGTCAAATACAAATACAAAGTCCCTGTTAAATAAATGAGAGAATCATGAGAGCAAGAGACTTGAAGTTCATCTGGGAACATAAATATTCTTCAATCCTCTCTGAGCTGCTGATGTGTTACTGCGATGTCGTGTCAGCTTGACTAGAGGAGCGACATGCTTGAGATGCTCAACTGTCTGGTGGCGGGTTCATAACAATTAACAACCAAATTGGTCAGGTTTGTCTTAATCTGTCATGCCCCGTATAAACAGCCAACTATATTATCCAATTCCCCATTTGCTGATCGCAACGCAGCGCAGTTTGGTATCTGAATAATCCAGCAATAATACCATCTGGTGACCAATTAAAAAAAATTAAGAGAAATTTCACTGTTTCTGTCCATTTGATCTTCCTCAGAATCAAGCATGCCAACATCGTTACGCTGGAGGACATCTTTGAAAGTACATCCCACCTATATCTGGTCATGCAGCTGTAAGTTCCTCTTCCTCTTTAACTTGTTCAGGGGCCATTTATACGATCGAATTGGTGCTTTCAGCATGCAGTTCAGTAAAGAGGTTTACTGAAAATTGATCTTGAGTTCAGAGTCTCTATTCAAACTTTTGGCTTCTCTTTCTCAGTTTATCATCATCATTTTAAATTTAATATTTTGGGGTTGGGGAGTGAAAAATATAAATATCTACAAATGTCTCCAGGTATATGTTGCATGCGCATCATATATATGTTATGTATACATTTACAGCAACGTCAATATCTAGAATTCTTTTTGTTTTTTTTGTGGTTGGAACAGTATTTGGCAGCACAGCTTGAGATCTACTAACCCAAATGAAATACAAAGACACCCTTGATTTTAACCTGGCAGGGTATCTGGAGGCGAGCTGTTTGACAGGATCGTGGAGAAAGGCTTCTACACAGAGAGAGATGCCAGCCAACTCATCCACCAGATCTTGGACGCAGTCAAATATCTCCACGACATGGGAATCGTTCACAGAGACTTGAAGGTATTACGGCTCACAGTGGACAGAAATAAAGCGGCTCAATCTGGCGCCTTCGCTTCCCTTTTTCTTCCCTTTTTCTAACCCGCCTCTTTCATTGCTCTGCAGCCAGAGAATCTATTGTATTACAGTATGGACGAGGAATCCAAAATCATGATCAGTGACTTTGGACTGTCAAAGATTGAGGGATCAGGGAGCGTCATGTCCACAGCCTGCGGCACTCCTGGATATGTGGGTAAGGCCTTCAATCGACTGGTCAGCCTCTCTCTCTCTCTCTCTCTCTCTCTTTCTCTCTCTCTCTCTCTGTCTCTCTCCATGTCATGTGACGGCACATGCTGTTTCAGCTGATATCCCCTCTTCATTCATTGCTCCGAGAGAAGATCTTTCATCCACTACTGAATCAAATGGAAGTGTTTCACAAGTGCTCTCTGCCTGTTTATCGGGACCTAGATCACATAGTATTACAGAAAAGGTCAAGATTACTTGAATTCACCCGCTCTGCTCTATTTTCCACTTTTCCGTGTGAGTTCCGTTTCACAGCTCCTGAGGTGCTCGCTCAGAAGCCGTACAGCAAAGCAGTAGACTGCTGGTCCATAGGAGTTATTTCTTATATTCTGTGAGTCTGACTGCATTTGTCACTATAAGAAGAACTATGTACAGTGATCTAGTTAGTATTGAACATGTTCCAATATTGCTCCCACAGGTTATGTGGATATCCTCCGTTTTATGATGAAAACGATTCCAAGTTGTTTGAGCAGATTCTGAAAGCAGAGTATGAATTTGACTCTCCCTACTGGGACGACATCTCAGATTCAGGTAGTACAGATTATCAAAAATGCGTACAGAAAATCCAAAATGTAAAGACCACAAAGTCAGCGTCACCAAGAACTTGATTTTTGTTTGCAGCCAAAGACTTTATCTGTCACCTAATGGAGAAAGAACCCTTGAAGAGGTATACGTGTGAGCAGGCCCTGCAGCATCCATGGTGAGAAAGGCAAAATCCTCATTATCTTCATATCTAAAATATTATCTAAGAACAAATCTATACTTTTCAATTATTGTGTTTGTATTGTCAATTTCAATTTCAAGATGTTTTATATTACTGTAAATTCATACTATTTTGCATTTGGACAACTTTGGGTTCATGATCATTTGCAGGTTTTATTTATTTTCTGACTTTAAACGGACCAAAATAATAACTGGAGGGAAAAAGAGAGACATTTGTGGCTGCAGCTCAATAAATGCATGAATCTCTTTCTCTATAGAAATTATAATAAAATAAAAGAAATTATATAAAGCTCTATAGAGTTTTGCATTGCGCTTTAAAAATGATGACCAATGATTTGTTTTCCCGTCAATCCGCTAATTGACAAATAAGAATAAGAATAAGCGAGGTCCAAAAAGGCTTGTACATTCTGTCATTTCTGTTGACTCCTCAGGATCTGCGGGGACACGGCTCTGGACAAGAATATCCACGAATCTGTCAGCGCTCAAATCAAGAAGAACTTTGCCAAAAGTAAATGGAAGGTCAGTGCTGTGTCTGAATCCTAGCGCAGCCTCCCCAGTGAGAGCTATCACGATTGGCAGACGTGCATTTTGTGCAGCTTTGCTGTTTTCCCCCCTCAATAGCTGTCAGACACAGACGGGTTTTTCCTCCCTTTATCTCTGTCCGTGCAGCAAGCATTTAATGCCACAGCGGTGGTGCGCCACATGCGGAAGTTGCAGCTGGGTACTAGTCTCGAGGGACCTAGTCAAATTACTCCCACCAGTCCCTGCCACGGACATCTGCTCCCAGAGGAAGAGGAGGAGGAGGAGGAAGACGACTTGGGAAATGGGGAGGAGGAGAGCTGTAAGTCAACAGTGAACACTCAGTCTATTTCAGACGTCTGCCTCTCTTCACATACCAGAGTCATGCCACAGTGTGCCGTTAAAGGGTTAGTGACCTAATACGTATACGGTGATACAGTGTCAATTTACAGTATTTTAACCTTCTTCCTGTCAACTTTGTAAGGATTTATCTGTCTTGAGCAAGTATCTTTCTCATCTCGATAACTTATTCATGAAGTTAACTTTAAGGAACCGTATATGCATTTTCAACCATATTCAGTTTTATTCTCCTAATTCTGTCTGTCAGAATTTTTGGTAATGCGGAACATCGCACATGCCACCAACAAATAATAAACACAGAAATCAGCACCAATTATTAGCTAAATATGAAGGCCTTACTTTTTAAGTGGAGGATATTATTATTTTATATATTTATATATATTTTATATGTAATACTTTATTTTGAAAATAAGTAGGTCAGCTCCTGCTGATATGTTGTTCTGAAGGTGTAACATTTCACAAATTTCAGCGCAGACGTTATTGTAACCCCCGAGTCAGAATAGTCATTATTATGAGAATAGGATGCTACGGGAAAAAGTACCAGAACTTCCACTTGACTTCACGCGCTCCCGTGGTTTTGCTCTAATCTCCAGTGTCCCACTATGAGGAGGGCCGGCGCGGGAGCAACGAGGGCAGCGCAGACCGGGACAGCCTGAGAAGCTGCACCTACTGCTGCAGGCCAGCCAGTCGCGTTTGAGCAACTCCCGGTGGCACTGGTGACATCGTTTACCTGCAGCACCTAGAACCCCACCCGCCCCAGTCTGGCCAGGAATGCAGAGTAGTTATCAGCCAGTGTCCAGCCCAGTACATCCACAGGGAGCCGGTCACTGTCATAGTGTAGAGAAATATTCTTTTTCCCCTATAAAAAAAAAAAAAAAACACATCTGGACTCGAGACACACAATTTGTTACTTTTTCTTTCGCGGAACAGAATGCAAGGCTACGCCGAGTGGAGGGGTCTTTTTAATGAAAGGGCCACTGACTTGTGGTACTTGTAGTTGTTATTTGGGCAGCAGACAGGCGTTATTTCTACTTAATTACTAGTTGTGGGTGTGTGTCAACAGGCGTATGGAGTCTCAATCAAAGATGAGGCTGCAGACTAACGGCAGTCTCCTACATTACTTTGGTTCTTACGTCGTCTATCACATCTACCTCTTATCACAACTACCGTCCGTCTGCATTAATCTGGTTCTCACACTATATTATATTATATTACACTATATATTCACCACTGGCAGCTTTCTCCAAAATTCTGGCCAGACAGGGCACAAAGAAAATGGGGGAGCACTTTTCTAGGTTGAGCAACTGAAAGCTACTTCTGCATGTCTTTATACTTCTTACCCATCAATGTGACTCGGTCTAGTCACTGACCAAGTAGCTGTTGACTTGAATAGAGTTCAATCTCAAGGCACGACTTCACTGCTGATGCCACCTGCTCATTTGGTCCCCCCCCCCTTCATATGAAGTGTTTTTGTCATTGTAAAAGTTATTTTATTTAGACCCTTTGTTGAAATGTGGTGGTTGACTGAGGGGTTATGGCCTCTATATTCTGGCTCAGACTGCGTTTGTGAAGAGTGTTTCTGACCCGGAGGGTCTTGCATGCTTTAGTTTGGGAAATGGGAAATCAAAACGTATGAATATCAAAAGGAGACTTTTTATTTTTTGGTTTGTTTTATGGCTGTTCTGTTATCAGAGGCTCAAACTGAGATCCCCGTAAGTCAATAAATCACAGGAATGTGACTCCGTAGGCGCACTTTATGTTAGGGGCAGTTATTTTAAAATTATATATTTTATTTTTTTTGCTCATTCTCCCTGTTCTGTTTCTGACAAGCGTATGGATATCTGTCAGTGTCTCACGCTGAGGTGGTGGGATCTTAGTTTGGGTGCTCCGCCTGCTCCGTACTGTGCACCTCTAGTGGATAAAGTTTTGGTCTACTGTTTGCATGACCTGGTTAAATATGTTTACATGAATGATGATCAATTAGTATAAACACACATGATTATTATTACTATGTTGTATTGAAAAAAATGATGTAATACTGTAACTTTTGAGATATATAATGTGAAGTGAGTAACACCAGAATGTTGATGTTAATGTTGTTGACAGAGTACAACACAGCACAGTGAACTGTTTGCATTGACTGAGATGGTCGAACCTCTACCTGAATGACATTTCAACTTTCAACATTTCTTTTCTGTTTTCTTGCCGTTGCTTTTATAGAATCAATTTATTCTTTTGGACCGACAGGCAGAAAAAAAACATATATCGTACATATCGTAAACATCACCTGGATGAAGCATGGCGATGTTTCGGCAGAACATTTAATGTACTGGAAATACTTTAATTCCTTATATTAGTCATACCATTCCATTGCTATATCTTGTATTTATTTAAGGTATGTCATGATACAATTCCATATCTTTAGTTAGCTGAAGAGACCAGGAACCAATCGCTGAAAATAATTGTTGCCCAGATAAAACCAGTTCCCTCAATTTTGCCATCAATATTTACAGGTCCATAGAACAATAAATGAAGGAAACCACTCTGGATTTACATGAATGCAATTGTGGAAAATATGCAAACTGTGTGTGAAGGGCTCCACGTTAACTGTAAGATGTTGATGACTTTGATAAGCTGGCAATTATTTGTTTGGTAATGACCTTATATTGAACCTTACCTGGGATTTGTTTCCACTTGGCTGTGTTTAAAAAAAAAAAGAGCGTATTTTACCCATTACAAACACATCTAAATGCATAAAGAGACACATGTATATTATATATATATAGATATAAGTATATATTGTATATCCTTTTTTGTAAAAGCTGTTTTGAGCTACAAATGTATGGATGCAATGCATCATGGGTTATTGAACAAGTTGTAAAGAAATACAATGATTTCTACCCACAGAGATTTGATTGCAGGAAATGAAATTAAACTTCTTGTCTATGCATTGTGTGTTTGGTCATTATGCAATAACTTTACTTTAAGATGAACAAGTGAAACACGAGTGAAAAGCTGGAAGAGATTTAACATTTAAAATTTGCTGATCACCCAAATAAAAGTGTACTTTACTCGCTTTACACATTTATTATGCAAGCATCCCATTGTCTTACTGGCTGAGCAAAATTCAAAAGGTTGTGAAGATATAATAGAAGTAAAGTATACAATCCAAATAGTACCCCTGTAAACATCAGCCTCAAAAAGGACTACAACAATTAGTATTTCTATACATTGATTAATATGATTTCATTAAAAATATTTATGTACTCTATTATTTAGAGTCATTCGTGATCAATTGAATGTCAAACGTATTTTCTTATCGCTGTGAAAATACAACGAGTTGTGAGAAAGTTGAAAAACATTTGACATTTGAAAAATGTCTCGTCACCACAGTGTGACATTAGTTCTCAGTGTTCAGTTACCTTCCCAGGCGAACGTGTCTCAGTTATACTGATGATGTTACACATCCCAGCCTAACAAAACACACCTAACGTGGCTGCACAACACACAAGACAACACAAGATGGAGAGGTGAATACTCTATGAACACCTTCAAAAAGTGTGCAGTAAAACTGTCACTCATTTTCATACCGACGACATTGAAACACGTGCGTCTTGTTAAGTACGGAAATAGCAACAAGACGCAATGTGTACAGACACGTAAGACGAGCATTGAACAAAGATTTAGATGTACATTTTGTTTGCATTGTTAAGAAATGTTACCCGTACAGCTGCTGTTTATGTGGCACATTCAGATGTCATCACATCAACATCCAGATGTGTAATTCAGCTGTATAGACTACGTCATTCCTGACGTCTCATTGGGCTCAATACAATACATGAACATATAATCACAGCTGTCACTCATCTTTTCCTCCTGCACCATCCTCCAACACGGCAGTCCTTCTCAGTCTCTCTTTGACCCGGAGGAACTGTGGCCCCTCTCGTTGTTGTCCTCTGTCTCTCTCTAGCTGTGGAGGAAGGAAATTATACAAACCAAATTTGGACTCACGTGTGTATCGCCACAGCAAATGAGCAACATTTTCAAGATAAGTGTCAAGGTCGAAGGCTAATTCCCTCAAATAAAAGGCCTTGAAGATCCACACAATCCACAGTTGTTGAATAAAACCAACTATTTGTATATGTTTTTTGATTATTATGATTTTTATTTTTTTATATATCTTTTTAGTTGTATTTTAGTCCCATCGAACTGCATTCATGAATATCTAACTAATTGTTTTATCTTTCCTTTTAGGAGCCCTAACAGTGAAACAACATCCACACTGCTCTCCAATGGCCAACAGGAGAACAACACGATGCTCCACGCAGCACTAACGTCAACCTTCTGTGAGGGAATAGTAACCATTTTCATGCAACACAGTCATTTCTTCCCTAAGAATAGATCATTTAATTCAACGTCAACCACTATGATAATGTGTTGGTCAAATGTGATAAGATCTTTTGGGAAAATTGAGGATAGAAACTTCAATTTTCAAGCAAAAATCGAGCATGACCTTTTTCAGCCTCTGGTTTTTTTTCAACAGTTCCTGATGGTGATCGGTTCTTTTTTGCTTTTCTTCCTGATCTCTTCTCGCCTTCATCATTTGTTCAGTTCAGTCTTTCCTTCCTGAGACCCTTTCCTGACGAACACACGGAAAGACGTTTCATAAAGACAATGAAAGAGCAGCGTGAGTATTCACTTGTGGGTCAGCAGTTCTTGATGAAGCTCCTGGTGGCTCTTGGAGGCCTTTAAAGGATTAGGAGGTTCTTGTGGTCGGATGATGTTGCTGCTCTCCTCCTCACTCTGTTGTTGGGGAGAAGGAGCCTGAAGCTCAGCGTATTGGTGTCGCTGTTCACTTTGGTGCGTCCGCAGGCTGAAGAGAAAAACATCACATAATGTATTTCCACTTTTTAGTTTGGGATGCCACATTCTTCTAGTGATACAGTATTCACCATTTAGCTGCTTAAGTGTCAGTAATAATGACACACACCAAATGTGACTTAATATGTGTATGTGACTGCAGAATGATAAAGGGATTGACACTTTCTGTACACTATATTTAGGATTGGATGTAAAACCATTGACGCCAGTGACAAAGTTCTGTTCGGGGAGTTTTGGACCCCACTTGCCAATAAGAGCAATCAACTATCTCAGATTGTACCATTCATCAACATAAAGTTGTACACTTCCGCAAACAACCGTGAGCATCTGGGCGATGGTCTGTGAAGATATTCACAGATTCGGACTTCCCGGTTCAATAGCTGGACAGCGAAACACAAAGGACGCCTCTCTGTAACCATGGTGATGTGGCTTTGCAGACAACCCCTGAGTACTCGTCTCACAGCGCGTGCACATTAAGACCACTGTGATCCGTCCAGGATCGGTCTGTTTTGGTCAAATGAGGGTTGTAGCCAGTTGTGGACATCACTATGGTTACAGAGAGGTGTCGTTTGTGTTTTAAAAAACGCTTCGCTGACCAGCTCTTGAACCGGGAAGTACGAATCTGTCGTCCGCCTTATCCTAGAAACGTTGTGAAATGTCCCATTTGCTGTCACTCATGATTCCAAGCGCCTCACAGTTGATGCCCCGCCCCCTGCGCCACATCAGGGTCAAAGGTCTGAATGTGAAAAAAAAGATTTGAATCTGAAAATATAAAATCCACCACCGAAAAATATAATATAGTGAATATCATTAATGAATAATGAATAATGAATTACTTAATTAAAGTCTCAAACGAAACACTGTTTGGTTCCCACGGAGAGTCTCGTTTGCTGGAGTTTGAGCAGAATTAATAGTCGAGAGAGAAGTTATTCCTACGTGGGACTCGACGCGAGTGGACTGCTAAATAATAATAAATAACTTTTGATGACTATTTCAATAAAGGAAGAAACATGTCAAACCGACATTAGAATTACCTACTTTAGTTTAGTTTAGTTGAACATGTTACATGATATTTGCTGAGGTATTAACATTAGTTGCAATTCAGCTGCATCATGTCCAGCATCCGGTACCGTTGCTAAATGTGTTTATAAACCTGCATTCAAATTAAATAATCCAAACAATTACTTTAAAAAGTGCAAGTTAGGCCTTTTAGTTACACGTGTGGTGCAGGCTGCTGTTGTCTCTCTGATAAGGGAAGCGTTGCACTGTTATTGTGGATATTATGTGGATAAGAGTAAGAGTTAATAAGACATGACTTTAAAATAATTTCCCACTCTGTAATGTTCAATAAAGATTGGTGTTTGGTTCAGAAACCTTTAAGAAACATGATTAAGTTCTGGAAAATTAAAGGTTAAATGTGATCAGGAATCCATAATTTGTACAATATTTGGTGACACAGAACACAATGTAATGGTAGGTTTCTTCATTAGTTCACAGTGCCTCAATCTTTTCAAACAGATAATGGATTCCAAGAAACTATTTTTTCCACATGAACGCATCTGCTGGATCGTCACAACCAGACTTGTGTTGTATCTCACAGACAAAGAAGAATATGAATAGAAGAATGCATTTACCTTCTGCAACAATATTTTGAGGTTACTCTCTCTCTCTCTCTCTCTCTCCTTCTCTCTCCCCCTCTCTCGTTCTCTCCTCCAGCAGCCATGAATGCTAGAGAGAGGAATATGTTCTGTGCTTGGGATGATAATAATTCTCCAAGACAAACCCCGAGAACAGGCCGAAAAATGCTGGAAGAATATTGTGTGTGTTATCCCTTAATCCTCTGCAGGAGGCCAGGCAGGTAAACTGAATTAGCGAACTGTACATGAAGTAGCTCCAACTAGCGCTAGCTGATTAAAAATGATTACACTTGAAACAGCCTTCATGGACTATAGTTATGTACTTCTTACATTACCGGTGTACCGCACAGAAGACAAAAGTAAACAAATGTGCTTCGGTGGAAAGTAAAGACAAGGTGAGATTTAAAAAAAGGTCCCATTAAACGTATAGTCTACTAGTAACTCACGTCTGTCAGTGCGTGAAATGCTTTCATTTCATTCCGTTCTTTCAATACTATTAACAACAGCCCTAGGGAAGTTCAGTACATTGTATTTATAAAGCTTGGAATCACAAAGGAAAATGTTGCGTCAGACATCTTTACAATATGTACGAGGTCCTGAGATAAAAATAAGGAAAAACTCCAGTAAGAGTGACAGAGGTGGATCCATCTTCCAGGGTGATGCTGTAATGCACTTAGCAGACAGCCAGAGGTAGTAAAACCACAACGTGAAGAAGCGCAACTCAATAAATAATGTATCCACATTGTCAGTAACGTTCAAACGGGTTTCAGAAAGTGGCGTCATTTCTTCAATGGAAATCCTAAATATTCTTCTTTTCATTCCTCGGGTTCTTTATGCTCAGTCGGGGTCCTCGGGATACAGCCGCCTACCTCCACCATCTCTGGCCATTTTTCGTAAATGTTGGTGTTATCGTCGCTAACAGCTTGCTGGTGGGTGAACAGGGAAGAAGATCAATTTTGTTGCTTTTTAATTTTATTTTTAAAGCATTTTAAAAATAGATGGTCTTTTCACACACAAATAGAACAGGCCCACTGACCTTCTCGAGGAGGCTTTTGTTTTCTGTCCCTGCTCTCCCAGCAAACACCCAGCCATCTCTGGGCTTTAAAGACTTGATCAAAGTGCTTCCCATTCCGACAAACACCTCCCTCATTTCGTCTGTCATTCTGCCAAAAAGGAAACGAAAGGAGCTGTGTTATGTTTCTGTCAACAGTTTTGCCGTTGAACCACTGAGAGTTGGACTTACTTTGTTGTCACATCATCAAACGAGGCCACCAAAGCAATCATTCCAGGTTTTATGTCCTTCAGGTATGCCAGGATGTCTTTTTCCTCTTTTGGTAAAAGTCATTTTAAAATACCAAAAAAGCAAAAAAAAACAATTTCAAGGTTTCAATGAACTTAAATTTAACAGAAGATTTAAAGACACAAAAATAGAACTTACTTCCACTATTCATATTAAGGTAGCCATATTTCTCCACTTTTCCATTTCTACCTTTGGTGGGAAATACAACATTTGGTTGTCAAAAACTCAACAAAGAAGGAACGAGGAACTGAAGCAGGTACCTTGTCTGTGACGTGATCTGATCGCTTAAAGGACTATTCTGATTAACCTGCTGATCACGTTTGTGTTATATGATTATTGGACCGTATATAAGATTTTTCAACTGTCAAAGATGATGTTAAAACTTTAAAGGCCACAACTATAAAAAAAATTGAATGTTTTAAAGAGTTGTTTGAGAAAGTCTAAATGATTTACAGCACAGTACGTCTGTACTAACTGTACACAAATCTGTACCAAACCAGTATTTGTACTCACCATTTACCAGCACAATGTTCAGTCCTGGTCCCACATTATTCAACACATTACTCATGATGCTGTTGAGATACAGACACGGTTGAGTTCCCCTGAGTCACACACATTGCCGTCCTTAGTCACGTCCAGTATGATACACGCACATTTTACCATCAAAACAGATCTTTGGCCCGACAACATTTGCTGCTCCGCTGGTGATTCGCACAGCGAAATGGTCGGATGGACAGACTCTGGAGAGGCTGCAGTCTGGCTCAGTTGTTGGTTCTGAAAAGGCTCAGAGAAAAGTATGTCTGATCATGAAGGCAGACACACACACACACACACACACACACATTATATGTGGCAGTCACGTAGTGTTAAAAATTGAGTGGTTTAATTGTGGAATTTACCTTTTTTCAATTTGGGTTTGACTTGATCTTTGTCATCAACCCCTAAAATCAAAGAGAGGAGGCAGTGTTATTCAAAATAGTCAAATAAAACTAAATGAAAAGAGGTCGTTCAGTTCAGGTGGAAATTTGCTCACCAAAAATAGTTGCCGCTTTCTCCCAAACATCAAATGAATTGATGGCAAATCTTAAGGTTATAAAGAGGACAAAAAATACAGCAGCGAGGTGCAAAATATCTGTCACGAAGAGACGAGGGTTGGTACAGAATAGAACAGAAATACCTGTTTTTGCTGTAAAGTAAAATCTCACCTCGATTTCTCATAGCTGCAATAGACACTTGTGTTTCCCAAAGTTTTGCAGGTACGGCAGAGCTCTGCTGTGGTCTGACGTGTGAACATCCTGATCATTCCTTGAACCATGCCTCTTCTGGGGGGAGGTTGTTTGATTATGCATTAACAAAATCAGCTCCTCTTTGTGCTACACGTTACAAACCAGGATGTGGCTCCATGCCAATGTGTCCTAGACAATCAACTTACTGAAACTGTACACAGCGTCAAACATGGGAGCAGTAACAGATTCTCCTCGTGGTGAACGTTGCCTTTAGCAAACAGCAGACAGGACGATGATGCACATTTTTTGTCAATCTGATGTATTATATGTAGAGACAATGCTAATAGTCACAAGATAAACTACGTTAGACTCAAGTCACAAAACAACATCATTGTTTTCCTCGTGTTGAGGGTAAATGTCTCTGGGACATTTCTCAAAGGAAACCTGTCTAACAGTGGGCACACAAGTGGGCAGATGGTATAAATGTGCCCATGAATGAATTCCATAGCTCTGATATATGGACAACACTGTTCCCACAGTTGGTCTTGACTAAAAAGCATTTCCAATAAGCAACTTGAAAACAAAATGGTAAATCTCACAGTTTTATTTCTGATACATTATTATTATTATTATTATGTCAATCCCAGAGACCACGCCTTTGTGTGAATAGTCTGCTTCTTTTGGGCTTAAAACCAAAATAGCATTTCCCCACAGGCAGTAATGACCGGATGTTATGATGTTTATTAGAATACTGTGGTCACTCATAGCACGGCCATCATTTATCCATCAGCACGCAGTTGAGTGGGTGATTAGGGAATTAAAGCCTCTGTGTGGCCATAAACCACACACATAAAGATGGCTGGCAAGTCACAACGTGTATCGCTTCAGCTGCAACAAACAAGCATAAAACAAACAGAGATAATTTACTGATAATTCCTCAGCAAGTTTGATCACTAACATTAGATACTGATTGGACTGATTGAAGTAAATGAATTTAACGATTTGCTATTTTACCTATTTTCTGTCCTTTCCTTCATCCCCCTAAACATATTTAAATTAACATGAACATTTCCCAAATACATTAAGACATACGAGGATTTCGACATGGCGGTAGGTGCACAAGATCAGACAGTAAGGAAATGGACAGATAAGACAACATAGTGCAAGAAAATGGCATGTTCAATTTACAAATTTAGAATACAACTCTTCGGAATAAAATATAAGGCTAAGGGCGAGGGGGATATAGAATAGACAGCTTAAAAATAAAGAGTAAGATGGAATTTAAATTAAAAATAAAACTGTACACACTGTGTTGTGAGTGTATGTGAAAGTGACAAGTGATGGGGGAAGATGGGACTGCGTTCTTCCTGAAATCCACAACCATCTCCACTGTCTTTAGAGCGTTGAGCTCCAGGTTGTTCTGGCTGCACCACGACACCAGATGGTCAGACTCCCACCTGACGGCGGACTCATCCCCACCAGAGATTAGTCCAGTGAGGGTGGTGACAAGAGTTTGTCCTGCAGCAGAGACGGGATGATCATGTTGAAAACAGAGCTGAAGTCCACAGAACACGATCCTGGCGTAGGTTCCTGGGGAGTCCAGATACTGGAGGATGAAGTGGAGGGCCATGTTGACGGCATAGTGGCTCTGTAGGCGAACTGCAGGCTGTCGGTGAGGGTTTTCAGGTGGGACAGGATGGGGGAGGGAGGGGTCGGGGTCTTCATATTCCTCACATGGTGTAGTACTAAAGATAACCAGCAGAGGGTCTATGTGTACCACATTAGACTGATAAGAGGGAACGTTTTGCATTGAGAGAAACATTTGACTGAATGACGTCACTCAAAATATACTTTTACTCTTTTTGTAAATGCTGTAACCTTCTGATAGATGATTAATCTGTGTGAGCTGTCGTCAGCATCCTGTGACACTGACGTTACCCAAATTATGTTCACTCGTGACTTAACAGGTGAAATTGGAGGTTTTCATTTTTTCTTTGTGGCAAATAACGCAGTCTAAAAAAATATCATGCAACATCAGTCAGCCTCAACACCATTAAAGAGCAAATTGACTTTAAGTGGGTTGAGGTTAGCGTGAAAATGGAAATATATTTCAAAGCAAATGACCAGCCAACTGGTAGTTATTGTGACCATGTACAGCTGCAGGTCAGCTATGGAGTTGAAAAAAGCCCATTAAATGGCAAACCTCCATGTGATGCTTTGTAGCAATCATATCAGAAGTGCTGGAAAACGATGCTGAAAGATTGTAATATCTAAAATTGAAAGTGAATTGATGTCACCACTTGTTTTTTATTAATTTGAGGCATATTCGATCGTGCTTAAGACGTTTGGCGTTGCTGCTTTTAAATTATTAAGGAGTAACTACACTGATCCGCACTGCGCTCATACAACTGTTGCAGCGGATAAAGCTGTTGGTGGTTTATTTACAGGTAATTGCTGCTAGCTCTGCCTGCACCTTCGCCATATTGGTACTAACGCAGCGGAAGAAAAGGCACCGTATCTTGTATTGATTGAGGTCGTTTACATTCATAATGAATGTTTTTTTCCAGAGTGGCTTCGGAGGGATGATGACATTGTTGCTAATTTCCTAAACCGTCTTGAGAGATCTAGCTGCTTTTGTAGCTATTTCTGTTAACACTCTGCAACACTGGGGTCTTCAGTTAGACATTTAGTTTTTTAGATCTAAATTTTGTTGTTGTGTTTTCCAAACACAACCTACTAAAGCTTTAACTGTTTGGGTTAGCAATAATAAAAAGCAACACATGTGTTGGTTCCAGCTTCTGAAGCATTTTTAAAATCTATTACACTGAAAATGTTGGGGTTTTGGACTCTTGTGTGAACAAAGCAACACATATTCATGATGTCACAATGGGGTGTAGGAAAATGTGTTATGGGTATTTTCTGATGTTGTGTGGAGCTAATGATGTTTTTAGTATAAAAAAGAAATAACCATTAGCTGCAGTGCTAAAAGAACACGATTCATCCCCGTTAAACGCTTTTTTAGCCGGTTCATCTGGGTCTCGGTCTGAGCTTCATTCCAGAAGATCCTGTGAGGAGGAAAAAAATGAATTCACAAAAATGACATGAGAAGTGATAAGGAAAGTTACAGCTGTGTCAGCTTGTACGGGGCACGAAGGACAAAGAAAGCTGCAATCAGGGACGATGCACTGACCTCGTCTGAGTCCTCTCCGACGAGGCCGGGCCCCCTGTCGCCTTCACCCTCTGTCACTGCTGAACCCTGGTCCTCCATCCGTCTCAGCTGTGAGTATCTGTATCTTGCCTCACTGAAATAAAGTCATGTGACAGAACGGGGTGATGTGTTGTCACTGGGATGGGAATTCTCAAATAATCTCATTAATAAAGTCTGCTTACTTGACCGGGTGGCAGTATTTTCGGATGATCAATAGAGCGGCTAATATTGCCGCCACAGAGACAAAGATCACTGACGCAATAATCCCGGGGTGAAGTCTTAACCCGGCCTGAAAAGACAAATGTATCCAATGAGATCTAACAGTGGGGTGGTTAAAGAGCCCATAATCATAACAGTGCTGTTCACAATGTGTTGCTGAGATAAAAAAAAAAGGAAATATGGGCAGGAGGTATGACAGCTGAACAGCATGTGTGTTATGGATCACACTGATGTGTGACCCAGCAGCTCCACGGCAGGGGTGTGATTCACATGCCAAGCAGGACTCATGTAATCTTTTATAAATGATCACTCACTTCAGAACTATGATCACAAGCCAATATCTCTTATATCAGAGCTACGCATGAGATTATATGTAAGGAGTACTGCCAGAACTTGTCTTTTTAGTGATAATTAGGAGCCACATCACCTAAAAGTTACAACAAATTGAACCCATGAGGAAGGACTCAGATATGGAAGATATGATGAGATATCCACGTATCCATGTTATTTTGTGACATCAATACATTTTTTGTAATTTTCTTAATCCTTGTGGAATGTGTTTGAATGCACTTGGATGCCAGATAAAGCCACATTTTTGTAACTTCTCACAACATGAATTCACTGTTTCCAATCACTAACATTGTTTTGTATTCCTCTTCACATGATGGCAGGTGGATTTAACAGCTTAAATGTAACATTATATACACACCTAATAATGAACTTATTTCTACTTTGTCGCGTGTTATGTTCGCAAACTAATTCCAACCACGGATGGATTTCAACGGACCAAACCGCTGTATGGCTTCTCAAAGTTACCTGTTGTGCTGACATCCTCGTCACTGCAGCGCCTGGTTCACGTCAATCAAGGAAGAAAATAAAGTGCGCAAACATTATAACTTATATAAAATATATTATTTAAAGATATAGTCGACACGTAAATTGATTTCGCATTTCGCGCATTTGGATAATTCAATAGAAACTTTTTCTGTCCGACTGTAACTGGGTCAAACGCCAGTTGTTTACTTCCTGGTTGCTGTCACCTGTTGCGAACAACACTTCCACGCCCCCTTTCCGGTGACGTCATGTGACGGACAGTTTCGTGTCACGTGGCCGTCCGATGGTTGCACTTTTAGAAGTGTTTGTGGTTGCTGTTCCTGCTGCATTTGTTACACACTTTCAAAACAAATTAAATTCTTGAGTTGAACTATTTTTCAGGAAGCATTTTTAAATTGGCGTTTCTACAGTTTGGAATAAATTCTTTAAGAAAAGGAAACATATGAAATACATCTTGTATCATAATCAAGGCACAATTTCTTGAAATCAGCTTCGGTTGGGAAACAAATCTATATTTAAAAGCTCTATTTTGTCTCTTGAATACACATAAACCTAGTGAAAAGGTTTTTTGTTGCAAATACATAGACGTATTCCACATTTCATATAATGCAACACTGTACAAAGTGCACATGTCAGTATTTGACAAAAAGAGACCTGCAATGCTCTGAGTCCCAGTATGCTGGCCGCAGAGCCATCTGAAAGGTCAGCCTTTGATCCAGATGGATTTATTGTTAGATTAAAACTACAGGGAATCACAATTTGATAAATGGATATGGGTTCTCCTTTCATTTCATTATTCTCCGGA